CTTGGTTAATAATGTATGCACAAATGCCAGAGGGATAGTATAAAAAATTTGTAAAGAACATAGCAAGAAAAAAAATCATTTAAGTACAGTCATAAGGAAAAGAAACCCCTAAACTATCCAAAACCATGATCTAACATGGAAGGATACAGCCCAACACTCTTTTACCATTATCACTATCTGGGAACATAACACCAATGGATATTTCATTCAAACTGAAGTCGTATGATAAATGTTGAAGAATAAAGGATTAGTAGCGATACGGCGAACTGAATTCAACATGGTTTTTCTCTTAACCCAATTATTTCTGTAAAAAAACATGATCCTTTATGTAATGGTCATTGATTGACAACAATTTAATGTGAAAATTATTTATACATATTTATATAATTGTTTTTGTGAAGAATTTTTTTTTAGTTCAATTGTTTTTTTGTTATTTTCTACCAATTCTTGAGAATGAAATAAAATATCTATTACCAAAGGAACGTTTGGTTCACTTAAAATAAAAAAGTCACTCCACTATACCTTGAATTTGGTGTTCATTAGCAACAAATTTGGCTTATTAGTAATGATTATGTTATTTGTTTTTACAAGTATTTGTCTGTTCCTTAATAAAATATGGTACCAAGAACAAAAGAAGACAGTGTCTGATGTGTTTTCTAAAACTATAAATAGAAAAGTAGATAAATACTTTCAAATTAAATTGTTACCATTCAAAAGATGACCATTAAACTGAATTAATTTTTTTCAGAATTTTTTTATGGTTTACACTCGCATTATGCAATCTGATTTTCGACGCCGTTTCGGTGCCAAATTTCGTTTGCCACCAAATGGACTGACTAGTCCGGTAGCAAATTTTGGTGCCTAAAGGTTTCGGTGCCGGAACGGTGTCGAAACGGTGCCGGAACAGTACCAAATTTTTTCGATGCCGAAACGACGTCGAATTATATTGGCTGTGTAAGAGAAACATTTGTTCGATTTAGTTCATATCACTACCAAGCCTTTAAATCGATAACCAATACTCATAACAACGAAAATAGTTGTAGATTCTAGTATTCAAACAAGTTGGAGCATTCAGTCTCAAATGATGTGGAACACAAAACCAAACCTATTAGTCCATAATCATATCAAACTATAAAAGAGTCAATATACTTGTACATGTGCAGTGAACTTTTCTAATCCAAATATATCAAAAATTCAAAAAAGACAATAGTGATTTATAATACTACCAAGCCTTTAAATCTATAACCAATACTCATAACATCGAAAATAGTTGTAGATTCTAGTATTCAAACAAGTTGGAGCATTCAGTCTCAAATGATGTGGAACACAAAACCAAACCTATTAGTCCATAATCATATCAAACTATAAAAGAGTCAATATACTTGTACATGTGCAGTGAACTTTTCTAATCCAAATATATCAAGCCTTCAAAAAAAACAATAGTGATTTATAATATTGAAGCATGGTGTAATACTGTATCTTCAAATGCTTTTAGATTTCAAGACCACTCAGGGCTTGAGCTATTAGGGCTGGTCCACTGGTCATTTGCCAGGTCACTTTTGATACAGACCAGTTGATTTTTTCAGTAGGTATAGGTAAGTAACATATGGCAACTGGTCCATTTTCAACAGCTGATTTCAGAACCTAAGCTCAACACCTGAGACCACTCTGCATAATATTAACCATTATAATTGGAACCATCATTAAGACAAATTCAGACAATGGAGACTTTAAGCTGGCGATGTTTTTCACAACTAACCAATAATGCAAAGTCCATGAATCAATAGGCCTACAGTAATATATATTGCGCGCATACAAAACAAGCACTAATTAGTCTACTTCAGATAACTGATCAGCTTCAGTTTCGTGTTTAGACATGAGATTTGCTATCTCACGTTGGTGTCAGCAGAAATTATTATACTCATGTCTATCGAATACTATGCTGGCAATTTTGATTTTGATGCACAGTATAATGCTATCTGAAGAAAATGATGTATGTCATACATGCTTTAGCTCCAAATATCTTACAAAACGAGGTTGTTTAAAGTATCATAGAAAACCAGCTATACAGGGTGTCAAATAAGCCCAGTCTCCCCTACAGCCAAAACCTTAATAGATGGTACCTAGTGCGATATACCATTGGGAAGATCATCCAAAGTTATGTGAACTCACCAGTTGTACACATGCATTTTACTGAGACTTGTGCTTAAATCCTTAATAATGTATACCATTATATTCTTTACCAGCTAAATCCCTTACAAGCCCTTTCATGGGAAGATTTATTGATATCTAAAGGGAGTAAATTTATTAGAATGCGTCATGCTAATTAATGGTTAGCTATGTAACAGGGGATATAGTCCTTCCATTTAACTAAAGCCTGCGTGAAAAAGCAAATATTGAGTATACCACAACATTCATCCAATTGTTTACAATAATCTTTATAAATCGTCATCGTTGGTATTGCAATAAGAAGTAAATTGAATGTGTTCAATTATTTCAACCTAACTTAGTGACAAAAATGGTAATATATCTGTGTCATTATGTTCTGCAGTTCATCGAATAACAGGTATAAATACATATCCCTTTTGTTAATAGGTCATATCAACATATCATTCTTCTGCAGAATAGGCAAAACTACAATTGGGTTGAAAGGTTTGCATAACTTTAGCTGTTTGTAAAACATATGCATGTAATAGATAATGTTATTAATATCACCCACACCCCACTTCCTATGATACTCTCATTTAATACACTTTCATGTAATTTTCATGATTTGTATGATAATACCCAATAATTAAAGAAATAAAAATTATCTTTATATATGGATATTTACAAATTGTTATGGAACATCTAGTTTTATATCAAAATATTGAGTTAGAAATATGTTGAGATGACATCATGATATTTAATTAATGTGCTCTTTGCTGAAATTTCAGGATATGTTGTTCCTTTACGAGTCTTATTAAATAAAAAAAAAACAATCACATGTTATGTGCTTGTAATTTTCTTAGTTCTGATTCTCAATAAACCTCACATCCGGATATGTATCTTTAATCTGCATACACTTTTCACTTCCTTGATATATGAGTTATCAATAATGACAAATTGTAAGTGGAAAATTAGTCATCACCTAAATCTCATTGTCACCATTCTAACCACTATTAATGTAAAACCTTTTTCCCTAGTCATGTGTGAAATTGCTTTGAAAAGTTCCAAAATGACATACACACAGATTGTGTATTGATTTTATAAACCATGATAAAGTGTTGTAGATTCAATTACCAAAAATTGGCAGCATCGTGCCCCAGGGATAGGTTCAATTACAAGAGGAAGGAGTGGTTTCTATAACAATATATTTATTATCGTGAAATCAAAGAATTGTACCAGAGAAAAAACTCCTATTTATTCAGATATCCACTGATATAGTGCATTCCTAGAATTAGACCTTTTAAAAATAATATTCACATACGCCACATATTGAAATTGTGCTTTGTAGTAAAAATAAGCAATACAAATTCATTAAACACTTATATTAACATAAATTTATACTGTTAATATTTTTTGTATACTTTGATTTTCCATATTGCCAGTTCACTCTTAATGTCTTATTGCATTTATGCCTCACCTAGCTTCAGTAGTAGATTGACAAATTATTTGTCAAATGTTTAATCTCCGGGGTATCAGAATCATTGAATGGCTGTGTAACATGATGGTTAACATGTTCATACATCAATTTACCAAAACCTTAAGTTGATCGTTTCATTTCTACTCCCAACAATATTCACCTGTGATAATCTTGTATTACAAGGATCTGTAAATCTGATTGGATGTTGTTTACAGTTGGCCCTTCTTTCTAAACGAACTTGTCATGAATAGACACCTTGTCAGTTGGCATTTTAGCAGAAAAGCCAATGAATATACAGACAAATATTGGTAAAGAATAAATGACCCAACCAAAAATAAAAAAATATACATATCATTACCAAAGAGCACATAATTTACATTCAAACCATACATTGCTAAGTAAGTTAAGCCGAAACTTAAACATTGCCTAAGCGAAATTGAGGGCACCAAACTGAGTACACATGGCATTTTCTCACGTTTGTTTCGAATGTTTATTGTATTAAATCATAACCACAATTGCAGGTTAAGTGAATGTAACATCACATGTTACATAGCCTAGATCTAGTTCTTTATATTGGGTGACAATAACTAGGACTAATAATTTTATCTTGACTGGTCAGGACAGACAAATGACAAATTTAGCAGCAATAGTGGTAAAAAAACTCTACATCAAGTCAACTACCTTCTCTAAGTAGGCCAAATATTCAAGTTACCAATCAAATAATCCACTTCAGTAAACATTGCTTCAACAGGCACATAATCTCATTGTCAAGTATGGAGATTTATTTTTGTGTATCACCCTGATAGTAAGACACAGGGTGAACAAGATTGGACCTGTGAGATTATCAATATGTGTTAAGCATGCCTAATAAGCTAAAGTTTGTATAAAAGCAATCTAGCATGCTAGCTAACAGCTCCAGATTTTCATAAATATTATTATTGCAAACAAAAATTATGGACCCACGGTCCTGTGCTCACACAGTTTGGAACCTTCAGAGGAATGAATATCCTGACTTTCAAACAAAAATATTGATTTGGATTTGTAGTCTCGAACTTTGAGATAGCACAGTTATGTGACCTAGTTTGATGACCTTTGACCTTGAAAATTTTACTTATTCGGAGCTCAGTAAGAACTAAAACAAGGCATTAACATCTGTCAGTGGAAGAATAGCCATCTTGTTACAAAGACAGTGTCTTTGAATCATGATACCTCCAAGCTATATTAGAAACCATTCAGAAATTTGATGCAGCAGTTGATAGTTTATAGGAGACATAGTTTCATTAATCCAGGCAGTCTAAAATAGAACAGTGGTGATATAAACCTTTAAGCTTTAACCTTTAAAGTTCCAATCTTTAAGCTTTAACCGTGATCTTACCGTAGAACTTTGATTAGGTACCAGCTGTCATAGTCCAACGATTTTGTAGTGAGAATAGCCATCTCATTCATATTCACTCTGAAACAGAAAATAGGAAAATTATTAATGGATGACATCAAAAATACCCTTGAAAATTTAAAAATGAATATCACAATGTAGTCCGAGTCTTGGTCGTGTGTTACATCCAGTCAGCTAATATATCCCAAGACTAAGATATAACTAGACAAGGGATTAATTAACATTACATAATGTTAATTGTTGCACACCATATTAGTTAGTTTAGTTATGAGTTCCAAGCCTACCTTACTAGTTTGAACTACTTATCAAGTTTCCCAATCCCCATTTATTATTGCTACATTGCAAGAAGTTCTATAAGGCTGAGCCATAATAACAGATATTAAAGATAGAAAGTCTATACATTTCACCGTTCATCATATGAGTTTCAGTCTACCTGATCTACTTCTAAAGTGTATTTTCAAGTTATATTACAAGTTACTTCATATCAGAAACTACCTTCCTCTAAGGAACCTGAATTATTACAAAACAGGTTCCAAACAAATTATCACCATTTATTAGACATATCAGGTGCAATCTGTTGAAACTAAAAGCACTCTAATATCAATGATTATTTTTACACTTGGACAATGTGAGATAAAGCTAGGTGTTGATTATTTTCCTCTCTTGTTTTAAAAAGTAAACCTTACTGTTGATTATTTGTATCAACTTTAATCAAAGGACAGTTTCTAATCATTGACAGTTGTGGACGAATGTTATTAGGTTATTAATGTTATTATTATTATGTTAAAAAGTTATTTCACTTGGATTAAAATCATCGTATACAGTATTTGATGAGCTAAAATTAATGACCAATGTGAGATAAAGCTAGATGTTTTATTTCTAAATCATTTTTTCCTCTGTTCTGTATTAAAAAGAAATCTCACTCTAGATTACTAGAGTAGTATCTGTATCAACTATAAAAGGGATGGTGGCTGATTATAGACAGGTGTAGATTAATGAGGTTATTTTCATTTGAGTGAGGGGGAAAATGATGATTTTCTGCCATTCTAAAAGGCAAACCTCACTCTAGATTATTTGAATCAACTATAATCAAGGGATGGGTTCTAATTACCAACTGTTGTAGTTATTTTTATTAAGGAACAAGAAGAAGCTGTCAAGAGGATTTTGTTAAAAGGATGGCATCAATCCTAATCAGATGGAAGAATGGAATAAACCTTTTATCATTACACTGATGTCAACATTGATGTACTTTGATCAGAGATACATTTACAACCACATTGCACACAAGGGATCCATTTAAAGTGACAGACAACAGGGGGCTGTATGGTACCACATGACAGTTATAACTTTTTTTTTAAACAATAGGTTTATTTCATTGATATATTTTTCATGGCATAATACACAATCATGCGGCAAATCGCCTTGTGGCATTTTATGTCCGCTTTCAATTACAATGTTACATATAAATATACGAAAAATTCAAGAAAAATAAAACAGATGTGGCATGTTATAAATGAAGTGTACTGACGGGGACCTGCTGCAACATAGATGGGGAGACCAATTACACATAGGGGTTGAGTAAGTGGGGTCTAAGGTAGTCAGATTATGTACAACCATGCACAACCATTAACAGTTTTCTAAAAGAAATGTTGCTGTCAACTGAAATAGATTGTCTAATTTATCATGGGTGAGTTCGGGATCACCAAAGAGATATAAATCAATTGTATCCTGTTGGGTTTTATAACGTGATATATCATTCAAACTTATACAAAGTTATAACTGTAACTGTTATGAATGTTCTGACCAATTGTTAACAGTTCATGTAGTAAGTGCAATATCTTCAAAAGAACATTTAATTTAGTATTAAAGGACAACTGAAATAGCTTTTCTCAACTTGCAGCTACAAAAATGCGGTTTTCTCCATTGTAAGCCCACCGTAGAGTTCTTGCGATAGCCATTATAAAATAAATGTTAAATAACTGCTAACGGTCATAGATAACGAAATAACAACTAACTGATAAATCAAATTGGCCCCCACGTGATTAGTAACGTCATATACAAAATATAGCTTTGGTTTATTGGTTCCATAGTAATCACAGCGTCACGGCAACCATAGGATTGTTGTGTAAACAAATAACAAAACATTTTGGCATTATGACGTCATGATCTAATGGACCAAAACGGGCCACATGGGGACCAGTGAGAGATCACGTGGGGGCCAATAACATCACAACCATTTCGAATATTGCTTATTAAGCAGCTATAACGATCGTTAGAGTGAAATAGTTTTCACACTACTGATGAGAAAACATGTCCAAATACATCTATCAAAAAATTATATAGATTCCTTTAGGTTAAAAATACCATTTCATATCTGCTTTAAGTGTTTTAGGTTAATTCGATTTCTCACAAATCTTACAAAGTTAGTCAATTAAACTTTGTTTACTGCAATATCACATTTATCTCTATAAAAGTGCATACAATGATAATTTAGTCAATCGATCTCTTTGTAAATGAATTGGCAATCTACATCCTTACAACATACAGGAATATTAACCTAATTTTCACCACAAAGGCAGTCTTTTATTGCAATGTTTAATGCCAAATAAATTGGGCATTAGATACAATTTATTCATAGCATGAGTTATCTTAATGGGAACACTAATCTTAGATGAATCTAGTTTTCCTTTCAATAACTCCATGTAAATGATACTTTTAAATTAAGTCAAGTCATGCATTGAAATAAATACATTGGACAAAAGAGTGTCATTAGGTTGAAACTATTGTCAACATCATGAAAATGTATATTGATGCATTGACTTGTTCTTGTATATGACAGCATTGGAAGTGTAGACACTTTGCCTCAACATGTTCTTAATCTAACATGGAGGTGAATGGAAAATATCCAAATGCTTCAGCCATTAACTCTGATTTGTTTGAACCAAGCATATTACATAGTTTATCCAAAACAGTCTCAGCCCTAACATGTTGTGAGATTCAATCCTTAGAATTATTTTCTCAAAGCAGATGCCCTTCATTTGCTTTCCAGAGTTCTGACTAATCTATCAAATAGAATCTGAATAACAATACAGATAAGATTTCTTCTGTAATATTTTATGTATTACATTTATATTTCTTATACAAGTGCACATTTGCTGGAATTACACCTGAAAAAAAGGTTTAACGCACTTTACAAAATCGCCATCCTGATTACACAAACATTTCTAAAGCGCCTTAGGAATTTTATTTTGAAATTACACCTGTCATTTCTAAAACTCCTTTCGTGCACTTTTAACGATGTAGATATGGAGAATATCCAGCAGATGTGTACATCTACAACTAGAACAACGGCAACGCCAAAGCGTAGCGAATCCCATCGAACAGAAATGGCTGGCAATTTTACGAACGAAATATATAGCAAACATCATAAAACAACACACCAGAAAGGCCACCATTTTCAAAATGGTTGCTCACTAGCCAAGTTGTCATCAGAAGAAATAATATGCTTTTAAGTAGCCACCTATAAAATCTTTGAAAAATCGCATACATGTACTTGTAAAATAACACACATAAAAATGGTGGCCTTTTTTCAAAATGGCTGACTACTCCCCAAAGTTTTATTAGACAATGTGCCATGCTTAAATTGTTCACATATCAAATATGAACAAAATCGCTCCACTACTTTTCGAGTTACTTTCAATTTTTGCGATAAAATTTGATGACCTATTGCATTTTTGGGTCCCATCCATCATTTCCTGTATTTTTGCAGTGGCCCGAATGTGTAGCATTCAAAATACGTCTTATTTCACTTAGGGCAAATGGTAAAAACCCGGGTAAGGCAATCTGTATCTATTACACTACACTCTAAAAGCGCCTAACGATTTAAATCCACAATCGTTTTTTCAAACCAGGCTAAAACCTTAGGCATCTTTCTAAAACGCATGGAGTAATTTTAGGAAGTGTTACATTACATTATTTTAATACTAATTTATTTACTTTATTCAACCTTCAATTTTTTAAAGTTGAGATGTAAACAAACATGATACAATTGTTTCTTTTAAATGTGTTCAAAAGGTGCTCTGCAGGACTGTAGTTATTCAGATAGTTATACAGTGGGACATTGCCCTCAAAGAGTATAGCATTCTTTACAAGTGTCATTATGGTTGTTTGTAGCTTTCCCTTTGTGTCTGAACACATCCTAATGCCTTCAAGCATGATAACAAGTCATAAATATAACTTTAAGGCTTTTAACGTGTAGACATACAATTAATTTACATGTCAACATTATAGTAAGGAAAAATAAATTCCTAGATATTGCTGGAAATCTCTTACTGTCCCCTTTAAATAATTTTATACTCCTTAGTTGACTTTAGTTACTTTGTGTGCAAACTATCAGGAAATGAAGGTACGATGAGCAGTACTTCGATGTTGAGTATTTTAATCTCCTTCACTTCACATCTTGAGTACACTGTCAGTTACATACTTTGTTGATAAATCAACAATTTACAACATATTCAACTCTTGATAATAACAAGGCATTAACATGCAAAATTCCAAACTTGCCATTTGTTACAGATCTGAACACCAACCACCAACACCAACTGCTGAACACCATCCAAAAAAGGTGTAGACTATAACATGTCATGGTGGTGAGATTATAAACTGTGAATATAATATTGAACCCAATTCATTATTTTAAGGTTTGGTCTTGTGTTCTTTTTAATTCTGATTCTATTCGGGGGGGGGGGGGTAGTTTAGACAACTCAATCCATAGACAGACATAATATAATTTTTTTTTAGTTTTGTCTGTTCATAAATTGCTAATGAATGCATTGAAGACAATAGTACTTTTACTTTTATACAAAATCTTAATGGCAGTCAATCTTATGCCTAATGACAATTAGCTTAAGTTAATCGAATGCACTCCTTTTGAGACCATTATAGCTCTAAGAGGAGAATAGAAGGATTTCACTTGTCAGCCATCTCATACTAATTATACTGTACTGCTGACTGATTTCTTTTTATCACTTCACTTCATCCTGATGTCAATTATCTGTGACGTCACACCTCTTGAAAGGAGTATTTCTAGGTTCCAAGCCAATCAATAAAACATGTTTAATTTAAGTTTACATCAAAGGCAGGGTCTTATTAAAGTCAGTGGCATCATTGTTCATATCTTATTATGCTTTAATCAGTAGCCGTATAAAGGTCATAAATATATTTTAGAATATGGGTCTCATCATAAATCACAGCGCTCAAGGATGTAGCCTGGACAGAGTTTTCAAATGATGGACACTCACCTAATTTAATTGGCATTCCTTAGTATAAACGAGCCATGAACTGCTGATTTAATTGTTGTCATTCAGGCGTTTTGGTTATAAAATAGTTTTCAATATGATATAATTAAAGAACCTACTTGGGGCTGCTATTATCAATTTAAGATTTCAAAACAACTCTATTCAACACTGCCAGCCAGCAGCTGAGGTCGGAAAATTCTGGAGGAAAATGTATTAAAATAGCATTTGTTATCATGTTCGAAAGGTTCTTACGAATTCCTGTTCAAAAATTCCCAAAAAGATCATAAATGAAATTAGGTATGATTGAACCATTTATTGTTTTCATAGTGTAGTGTTTTAGTCCTGTTCCTATCTATAACAAGGGCGGAATGTCTGGAAGCAAAATTTTTTCAGAATATTTTAACATAATAATTGGCCATTAATTCAATTCTTAATCATAGTTTTTTCTGAAAAGTTACGAATTCACAATGAAGCATCAGTGTATCTTTTAGAATCAATATTTTATAATGAAGAGTATTTTTAAAAATTAAATCTTAAATAATACGATGAGTGTCAGAATGAAATGGATTACATTTTACAATTCAATAAATGAGAAATGTAGGAACGGTATACTCATTTATGATCAATATTTAATTGTGTTGAGTTTTGGCTCATGTGGACAAAATAATGACAAAAAATGCCATCTTAAAATCAAAAGACAACCTAACAACATTAGCAAGACAAAAGGCCACACAGGTTATCACAAACATAAATAAAATTAGATTAGATTCACTCACTTAGTTGTGTTCATATATGTAGTGTATTAGTCTGTTTCAGTTATAACAAAGACTGAATGTACAGGAGCAAAATAATATCATCAGAATATTTAAACATAGTAATTGACCATTTAATTCAATTCTAAATAAAAAAATTTTTGAAAAGTTACCAATTCACACTGACGCAACAGTTAATCTTTTAGAATCAATATTTTATAATGAAATGTATTTTTAAAAATAAAACCTTAGATAAAATAAGATTAGTGTCAGAATGAAATGGATTACACATTACAATAAAAAAGGAGAAATACAGGAAAGGTTTGCAAAATTAGTGAGACAAAGGGCCACATAGGTTGTTGCAAACAATTTCAGAGGGCTATAATTAACTGTATTTTGACCACGAAGATAGATATATCTTTCAGTATGAAGGAAATGTATATACAATGAAAATTAAGTCAATTGGACTGAACTACATAGCATGCGCAGTGCAAATGTCCATGTAAATTTAAGAAAAAGAGAACTCCACTCGAGAAATCCTGGCTACAGGTCTGATTTTGTTATTGTTTGACCCACTCTATTAATATTAATATAATAAAATATTAATTTGTCTTACACTTGAATTTAAAAATCAACACTATTAAGAACAAAGACATTTTCAACTAATGCACAGGATTTTTGTATGAGTCAGGTCTCTAGTTCACTTGACAGTCTATGTTTGATTGAAAATTTTCAATGTGTGTAAAATTACTATTTTCATTCCAAATTTTTCACTGGACTGTTTCAATTAAACTTAATTATCATGAAATTCTAATAGGTTAATTAGCACTTCTATCATTGAATAATTACTTTTAACTAGCAGAGACACAGATTATAATAATTAAAAGCAGGTTTTATTATTGGCAAGCAAATTTGGGTATAGCTTAAGATATTGATAGGTGCTATATCAAGAAAGTTGACTAGCACATAAATTCTATTTACATATGAATTCAATTTATTTACTCTAGTGATTTTATAAAGCAGGTCAATGACTTTTCAATTCATTTACTTGAATAGATATTAAGGTTAGTCATGTGGCAGTGAATCAAATGAAGCAAAAGAAAATTGAATGACGACTTTGTTGCTCTATGAATAGCATCAATCAAACTCTTTCATCAGTTTATTCTCAAAGGTCATGTTTTTCTAATAAAGTCAATTTATTGGAATTATATTGCATTTGCATCATTGAATTGTTTCTGATCAAACTTTGATTAAAAAGAGCAGAATGATGCTTATACAAGAAATAAGTTAAAACAAACATGTATAAATAAATGCTAAAGAACAAAATTAGCTTTACTAATGAATGCCTTGAAATATGAATACCACTGTCCTAAGACTGAAAAGGCCAACCATTATTAATAATTATCTAATATTAATGCTATAATTATTTACATGTTTGTGACAATTCATAATTTCCTTGTCAAGCAACACAAAATAGAAGGTGTCACTATTTTCCATTATTACTTCAAGCAATAAAACATTTTGATCCCCGATGGTGAGGAAGAGGCAAGTAGGGTATGTATATATTGGTATACATTTCAAGGAATAACAAACTAAAATGCAAGTAATGAGTAAGGTTCAGGTAGGTTATCATAAACAATTCAGATGGTTTTAGCTTAAATTATGCCGATTTTCTGACCGTGAAGACAGGTATATCTTTCACATGAGTTCATTATCTCAACAAATTATATACAATAATAATAAAGTCAAACGGACTTGGAGATTTCAGCTTGCAATCAACCCATCAACACACTTTTTCAAAGATGTTGACCTCATTTTTTACGTAATGTTTAATGCATTACTATTCTTTAGTTTGGTGTATCAAATAGATCTTCAAAGGAGAACTGAATTCCTCTAAGATTACTGTTCCCAGTGGCACTTCCCCTTTGAAAGAACTGCTATCTATTCGTCTCATCCAAATTCACTATCTTTTAATTCCTGGGGAAATCCACTTTTCCTTTTAGGAAATATAACATGTCTCAAAACAAATTCTAATTATGCATTCAACAATATTATAAATGTTGCACTTTTGGTGAAAATTAGGTCAACATTTTTGAAAAAGTATGTTGATTGGTCCATTGCCCCTTTATGATCACTGCGTTTGATTAACTTAATTATCATTACATATACTTTTCTTGAAGATAATTAATGGGTCTAAAAGATACACCCGTGTTCATGATCAGAAAATATTCATAATTCAAGAATCATCTGAAATGGTTTGCGCTAACCTACCTGCTCCTTTGATAAAACTATGAAAAAATTAAACTGACCTTATAACTAATACTGAAGCCTCCACACCAATAGAAAAGAAATGTCCAGGATTCTGAAAATCATATATATCTTAATTAGAATGTTAAACGAATAAGCAAATGATTTTTTGTGCAACTTAATTCCTGATTAAATGGCATCTATGTTGAATACAGCAGGTTTAGTCTGCTTCACTACTGTCTTAAAGCTTTACCTTAATACTTTCTTTAAAATGTCGTTTCTGATTGACAATTACAAATCATTAGGTAAAAGGTATGCATTTAAACAAGGAGGGACTAACCTGACCAAACCATAGGACCAGCCCATTGGTGAATCCAGCAGATATCCTAAATACTATCTGTATACCTGTTTTAGTGGCATCGTCAAATACCAACGATTTGTTAAATCGTAAATAACCATTGTCTTTAAATCTTGCTAGAGAAAATCTGAGATCTGGAATAACAAATATAGCAAGATGAGGTCACAGTATCATTTAAAATACAATAAGTCATTTTTGCTGCATTGTAAAACTACTTTAATTATCTTAAAGGATTTCAGTGAAACCTGTTAAAATTCAGGATGAAAGTGAATGGCACTGTGACACATGTCAGTGAGATAATTACTGTATTGCATGATATGGCAGTGTGGTATAAATAATATCACAATTACCTTTTTCACATTTAGAACCTGTGTAATGCAATGTGCAGAGACATTGAGTGCTACCATTATCGTTGACAATACATACTCCATCATTTCGACATATCTCATTACTTGGTAACACATCACAGACACTTTCATTGCAGAAAGGACCTATAGGGAATAATATATCTTAATATTGTGTTGAATTATGGACACAAGGAAAACACTTCCCAGACATACAACAGAATAAACCGATGATAAATTGACCCATAATAGCTTATACTACACAATACTAAAGAAAATTTAAAAACAGTTTTTTTTATTCATTTATTGTACCCCTGGTTTGTGTATGTTAACATATCTAAAATTTGTATTTGTGAAATGCAATATTCTACCATCCGTTTTATAATATAGAATATATATTATATAATATAGAATGGCACCAATGTTCAATGTAAAATTCAAATATATTCAAGAAACTCTTAAATATTCTACATACCCGCCTTCCCTTTTGTGCATAGACATTTATAAATATTTCCTTCTGCTAGGCATGTGGACCCATCTGAACAGCTATTTACATCACATGGATCAAATGGGCACTCCTCTATGCCATATCCAGTTGTATAATCACTGGGCTGAATTGTATTTGGACCAATTTTAATTTCTTGTATGCAACCCTGAAAACCTATAAAATAATTCTATGGTTGAGTATTTTACCAAAATACTTTATTACATTATCATTTGAGGTGTTTTATGATGTAAACTGTGTAAAAAGTAACCAGTAAAGTACATACCTTGTGTCACTGATATAGTGTCAATCAATGTCACTTCTGGGCTAACTCCACCCACATAAGCCACACCCCCACTGTTAAGGGCAAATGCTGCTCCAGGAGTAGTGACATTCTTTATGCCTCCATAATTGACACGCAATGTTCCAATTCTTCCATTTAATGTCATTTTGATCTTGTTCCATGTATTAATGCTTGCTATATCCTCACTAGATGCCCTGGTTGGCCCTGAACCCAGGTTGACTATCATAGATACATGGCCATCCTCAAGGGCAAGGACTAAAAGTGATAAAAAGCTATATTGTAACAACACAAAGAATCGCTCTAAATCATTAGAAATGCTAAATTATACTATAGTTACATATTGTATAAAATGTTATAACCTGCTTCCACTTAATTGACAAATATTTGATTTTTACTTGTTTTTTAGTATTCAGTTGTTGTATATTATGTCATATGGAAACGGTATAATTGTTATAGTGTATAAATAAGATATAAAGAAGTAAATAAAATAAACTTTAAATGCATATGTGACGCAATCATTGTTTTTATCATGCATAAAAATATCACAAAGTAACATAGTCATGTTCATACCTAAGAAATCATTTGACTCTGCTATGTAGAAGAGGATTCCTGTACTGGAGCTTGGCTTGATGCTAAACTCCATTGTCAACGATTCAGAGGATTGTGGGAACAGCACAGATGCATAGCCTTCATGAAGGAAGTATGGCACGGATACTGGTTTAACTAGGACACAAACAATACGATTTTATAATATTTATAAAACTCGATGAAATGGAGTGCTATGGTGAATAATAATAAAGAAGCACAAATGGCAACACTTGGAAAGAGAAATGTGTAACTATTTCTAAATCACATGGAGCATTTTAAATGTCTAGAAGTATACTGTTTGAAGTAGTATCAATTATGGGTTAACAGGGAGTGACTCTCTTCATAAGTTTGAAAAATTAGATAGTCTATCAAAGCCTGTAAAATTTTTATGTTCCTTAATCACAAATTATAACAGAAATTAATGACAAATCAGATGAAATTTTATAAATCACCAGAGATTTTGTTGAGGGATCCAAATGTGACTTCCATCTGGCAAACTTATGGTACCTTTGAATGCTTTATTTGACTCACCTATTGTGCAAGATGGTCCACTGAATCCGACAGGACATTGACAAGTGTGCCCACTATCACCTATAATGCTGCACTTTCCACCATTTTGACATGTAAGATGCTGACAAGGTGATGTATTACAATTTACTACATCACTACTTGAAGTAACTAGATTCCATGTAATGTCATTTAGGCCTTGCACACCTGTTTTCAGGTACTGAATACAACCAGTGAATCCATCCTGAATGGTGATGATGTCATGCAATTTAGACCAATCAGGGAGTCCACCTATATTCACCTCTGATTTGACCTCTAACCCTCGTGAGGATCCAGGTGTTTGACCTTGAACTATACTGCCATCTATGCTTAGTTCTAAGGTTTGAGCAAACTTATTTATGGAAACAGTGGTCCATTTATTGAGTATATTGACTGATGATTGAACTTTGATGGTGCCAGTTCCTACAAAAAAATAAAATGTGTAAAAATGGCTCAGTGTTTATAGAGACTAGAGAAGGTTGTATTGTTTAATGTAAGTAAAGTTGCATTCAACCATCCAAGGTGTGTGAAGGCACATATAATCATATATATATATATAGTCACTAGTCAGTACATTCTGTACCATGGACATTATAAAGAGATTTCTTCAAAGCCATGCCAGTAAAATGCTCAATGATTTAAAAAATACATAAAAGACTATATTACTTAAATGTACCTTGCTCAACCCATAATGTTGGTTTCCCATTGCTGATCCCAAATGTAAGAAAGTCGCCAAGAGGTTCATTAAACTGGCTGGCGTGCAATATGAGACCATTCTCTGACTCTACTTTTACTTGAAGCTCTATCTGGAACTGTGTTGCATCTAACATTCCTGGTACAGTCAGGAAAGAACTGTGGTTGAAGTGGGGGGTCACTTCAATTGAGTCTAGAATAAATCAAGCATGGTACCTTTATATATATGTGTCATTATTTTCAAGATTGTAGAAATTGGAACCATGAACTGTACAAAATCCAACAGTTTAGTCATAAAAAGAGAATGTTAAACCAAAAATATTAAATGAAAATATGGTGAACACATTTCAAAGAGAAGACCTAGAAGTAGGAATTGTCTAGCGATCATAACATTATGGTTATTATAATATCGGTTAGCCTACTTAATTCACAATTTTTCCCCAGAGCACCACTGCATACGCATCTTGGATGTCCATCATTGTTTATCTCACACTGGCCTTCATTGCAGGAGACTTGATCACATAGGGCAACCTCACAGAATACTCCAGTAAACCCAGACTGACAGCTACATCTCACACCTGATTGGTCAATACTACACACGCCTCCAGATTTACACGGGTTTGTATCACAGGCTGAATTCTCGCATATTGTCCCTGATCGTCCCTGAGTACACTCACATAGCCTCCCCGTGTCTGTGATTGAGCATGTGCCACCAAATAAACATGGATTACCATCACATTCTGAGAACTGGCATATAACACCTGATCGACCTGGCGTACACACACATATGTAGCCATCTTGGTTGCTATAGCAACTGCCACCATGTAAACAAGGGGACGATAGACAAGGGCCAGTAGGTGTGTTGGTGGTTGGTGACGTACTGGTTGATGTTAGTTTGCTGGTTGATGGAGGGGACTTAGTAGTGCTTTGACGAGGGGTTGTTGTTTCACTGGTACAGCTACTACCTTTGAAAATGAAACAAAAAAGAATTAATACATCATATAATACAAATAAATTGTCATACAGCTACTGTTTTAGATCTACAGGCAAGATGATTCAATTTACACATTCTTTTGATTTTGTATTTCTTTAACAATAATTGATACAACATATCTGTTTTATCGGAGATATTGATTTTAGAATTTTATTTCTAATTTTGAAATTTTATAAAATATTCAATATAATTAAATCATAATATTAGTGAATTAGATTAAATAGGTGAAGTAATATTTAATAAAAAGGCATGTCATTACTGAAACTACAAATTATTTCATAGTTTATCTATTTGAAATAAAAGGGTTTTATAAAAGGGTAGGACCAAGAAACAATCATTCTGTCACAAAGCACAATAAACCTAAGAAGGTCCAATTAACCTAAGAAGGTCCAATTAACCTAAGAAGGTCCAATTAACCTAAGAAGGTCCAATTAACCTAAGAATTCGACTATATACAGTACCATCAATTTCATTGTGAATAGTTCCAACTTCCAACCCTCCCCTAAAACATCATTTGTCATGACAACTTTAAGTACAAACCATCTAAACTTAAATTCATAAATAATGGTAATACTAGTACATAAAATAATCTTTCCAGATTAACAAACTAGACCCGCATCCCCCATTGTATACTATTTCTTCTTTTGACAGAAACTGATGTCCTGTCCTACCCCATAACTAACAATTTTAAATAAATTAGAAGACAATCTGGGTAACCTATTTACAATACATAGGGATACAACTGACAATAGTTTGTATAAATCAGTAAAATAAAACAAAGAAATATTAATAGACAAAATGATTAATTGAAATAAATACAGTTAGAATATATTAAGTAAATATTTCATTTTTTCAGTAATCAACATGGTAACTAAATGGTATTAATTTAATTAAAAGATATAAAATTATATGCACCTTTCTATGACGATTTATCCTTGTAATTACGTGGAGCTGACGAACATTTTTCAACTATGAAATATATTTCAAAATCATTTTCTGATTTTGATTATGCCAATGTATTACGAAACATACAAATGTCTGTATAAAAAAAGTTATGTATATGATGACAGATCTAAAAATTTACTGTTGTAAGAAGAGAAAGCTAGTTAGTAATTTGTTGAGGGGAAAATTAATAAGGTTATTAAATTCTAAGACATGAAACCAATAATGAAACTGTATGCAAGCCCTGTTTTAAGCTGCAGCAGTGACATCTATGAAAAAACACAATATCTAAGTACAATTCTAAGCAATCACCACACCATAGTCGTTAAACACACACAAGGCAGCATACTGAAATACCTTGACATATTTCACACTGTACCCCAGTGTAGCCTTCTATACATTTACAGCTATATGTCAGCTCTATTGTAAGACAGGTTGCTCCATTTAAGCATGGGCTGTCTAAAATCACACCCATAATCATTTTTACGATCTCTGATATAATGAAATTCATGAAAAAATGTACATCCAGGTCCCAGCTCTTATATACGCCCAATATACTTTGGTGCCATTTCAGCACTGAACAAATTTGGCGCAAAAACGTTCCGAAACCTGCTCTGTCTGTGCAAATTTGACACTGAAATTCATGACAGGTACTAAAATACAGTGCCATTTCCATACCAACTTTTAGCACTGTTCCAGCATTGAATTTCTGATTTGTTTTAGGGAAGTACATTACAAATTAGAGTGATTGATGAAGTACCTGAAATACTCAGCTCTGATAATGATACAAAGTTCTCCAAAATATAGCTTTGTGATTTTCATTTCAATGTTAAACCAGTAAACAATGCCACCTATTGGTTATGATGTCATTCTTACAGTTTCAGAGCAGAATTAGGACAAAGTTACTGTTATTTTTCAAAAAAAATATTCAACATTTTGTTAACAAATGTTGCTACTTGCAAAATATGACATTGTGAATCTTAAGCCAATATATTCTAGTTTATTTCATTCACCAAAAAGAGTTTTGATTTATAAGGAAGGTCTATTGACCATTATAAGGAAGGTCTATTGATCATTATAAGGAAGGTCTATTGACCATTATAAGGATGCTCAATGGAGGAAGTACAGTTACACTTGAAATGCTTGAAATGCAATGCCAAAAACACTCTTCATCAATCACCCATCAATGTTTAATTGTTCATTAAAATGAATTCCCAATACTCATACAAGATTTGTATGCACTCAAATTTTCATATTTTTTCATAAATTTGACGTACCTGAGCATGGGTCTGTGTTGTCACATAGGGCCCCTAATTGACCTGGGGGACAGATACACCTGACCCCATCACCTGAGCATACACCACCGTTACACTGGGCATCGATACAAGCCACAGTCAACAATTGCTCACAAAAGTTACCCTGTAATGAAATACATTCATTAGAGATTTATTACTTAGAGAGTGCCTAAGTTAAGCCCTTTGTATCTATAAAATATAGAAAACTCAGAATAAATCTTAAGAAATACTAATAAAAAAAACATTTCGAAAATCAGCAATCATTTTCAATACTGGCTTGAACTCACATGTACAGGGTGTCCAAAAAAAAACAGGACCGTAAGAAAGTTGAATAACTCGGTCAATTTTGCATATTTTGCCTTGAAATTTCAAAATTATTTAGTTCATTCAATGTGAATTTTCTTGTGAAAGTTTGATAATAATCTACTGATTGAGTCAAAAACTACAGCTCCTAACAAAACATGCCCCAAATGTGCAAATCTCATCTCTATGCACAATTCAATCCGGCGAACAAAGCTGTTGATGATCCTCCTACACACATGTCTTTCTGAATTGACAAGTTTGTTCCAAGAACAATTGCTACTGGGGCTTACATCCTCCTGATGAAGTGTTACAGCATCCATTGCATTCTGAACAATGCACTCCCTGGGTGGCAATGAGGAAACATGGAATCATCAGTCCCTTTTGGTTCGAAGGTGACTGGGGACTTGTTATCATCATGAACAAGGACCAGTAAGTTCTCACCAAGTTTTGGATGCACTAAGCACCAAAAGGGACATCTAAGGAGATAATTAAGCAGTGGTTTCAACAAGCCAATACCACCCCAACACTACAAATGATATGCTGAAATGGTTTAGGCAATGCTTTGGTGGTCAGCTCATCAGTTGCAGAATGCAAACCATATGGGCAGCTCATTCGCCTGATCTAAACCCCCCAAATTTTTATCTTTGAGGATTTCTCAAAGCCAATATGTATACTGAAAGGCCCCTAACAATCTTAAGAGGGCAATAACTACCCCAATATTTACCATCCACATTAATGTGTATAGGTAAGGGTCATTAACAACTTTGTTCGCAAGATTCGTTTGTGCATAGAGAGGAGAAGTGCCCACTTTGAGCATGTTTTGTAAAGGACTGTAGTTTTTGACACAATGAACAGATTATCATCAAACTTTCAGAACAAAATTCTCATCAAATGAACTAAATAATTCTTAAATTTCAAGGCAAAATATGCAAAATTGACCGAGTAATTCAACTTTCTTACGGTCCTGTTTTTTTTTGGACACCCTGTATATAAAACAACAATATATCTGAGTTATATCAAGGCAGATGGATGTACAGACAGAAGTATGGATGATATGAATAGACTGTGTTGTTAATATCCCTATAAACTTCATTTGATGGAGTAATCATCTTTACAGTACTTACAGTATATCCTGCATAGCATTCACATTTTGGGAGTCCATCAACTGGCCAACATTCCCCATTTATGCAAGGGTTTACAGCACAAACATCTGCAAACAACAATAACATGATGAATTTTTTTATCAATACAGTGCAGTTATCTCTATTGCATTTAAAAGCATGCATTAGGATATTTTTTTAATCTAATGGTAAAATGATAGTTTTCTGCTATTTAGAAAACTGAGAACAGGATTATAGATGAAAACCCTCATAATGACACTTCCAAACACCCTATGCAGACTGTGCTCTACAAAAACAAGTGGTGAGGACATCATGTGCATACGCCATACAGTGCAGACTTAAACATTGATCAAAAATGTGCTACCTCTTAACAAGTGGTGCGGATGTCCATAAAGTGACGGATATCCACACCGCTTCTTAAAAGATAGCACATACAGGTTAACTGTTTTCCTTTTTTTAAACTTAAAGTAACTTTATGACTTTCAAATTTCAAAAATGATTCATATCGATAGGTCATCTCAATCATGAATACTGAATGAAGGCTGTAAATGGTATATTAAAGCGGCAATTTCAAATTCTTTGCTTTGGAGAAAGGATGAATGTGTAGTGCATCGTTAAAGTATGAAGTACACAAATATGGACATAATTTTCAGTGAATATAATCGAGTACCCAACATGCCTTAAATTCAAATTCTAAAATGACTGTTAAAGTCTGCAGCATGTGCACATGATATCCACACCGCTTGTTTTCTTATAGCAGCTTCTGTATAGGGTGCAAACGTCAATACAATGGAAAATTTCATATCCATCATTTGATTAGTCTTGTGATTTGAATGGTTACCCTAAAAACAAGGAAGTAAAAAAAAAAATTGACATAGGCCTAGTCAAAAATTGTGATTTATTTGCACAGGTACTTTAATTTAAACCCTAAACAGTGTTCTGAATTGATGAGTCTTAATTCTCTTAACTAGTGGTGATTGTCATACCTTCCTCTACTCCAAGCTCACAAAGGATACCATCCCAGGGGTGTTTGCACTCACAAAATACTCCAAGGCTGTCTTCGTAGCAGACCCCATCATGTAAACAGGGCTTAGATAGACATCCAGTTGGTTCAATGGTTGTCCTAGGATTGCAACCATCACCTAAACATGTTAACAATAAGACAATATTACATTCACAAAATACTCCAAGGCTGTCTTCGTAGCAGACCCCATCATGTAAACAGGGCTTAGAGAGACATCCAGTTGGTTCTATGGTAATCCCAGGATTGCAACCATCACCTAAACAAGTTAATAATAAGACAGTATTACATTCACAGAATACTCCAAGGCTGTCTTCGTAGCAGACCCCATCATGTAAACAGGGCTTAGAGAGACATCCAGTTGGTTCTATGGTTGTCCCAGGATTGCAACCATCCCTTATAAAAAATTCTTGAAAGTCCGAATTTAAACCATTTCCATCAATCATTGAATACTGATTGTTTCAACTACTAAGATCAAAGGAAAAACCATTGTACAATGATAAGCAATCATTGTGCAACCATTGCGTTCAACCAAGTGAAGTCAACTCTTTTTCAACGACAATCATTGTAATCTGCAACCATTGTAAACTGCAACCATTTCGCATTGAAATGTAAATGGTTGCAATATGTTTTGTTCAATGATTGCATAGTTCAACCCCTGCAACCATCCTGAATCAGTATCGTTCCAAAAAATTATCATTTTACCTGAATTAAAATTATCTTTAAGTATTGATTTGAATGTACCTCTATTCAACAACAGTATATTAAGATATTTTTTCTGCAAACATACATGCATGTTTATTATAGTAAAAAATTACTAAAAGTTTAGTTCTCTGTCAATTACATTATTTACACAATTAAAATTACCATATCTAGTGTTCATCAAACTTCTAAAAGTGTTCATAAAAGTGACACTTCTGGCAATGTTCATTATACTATTGCAAGCATTCATTATAATATTAGCAGTATTCAATAAACTATTGCCAGTATTCATAACATTATTGCCAGTATTCAATGAACTACAGGGTGGTCCAAAAAAAATTGGAACATTTGATAATTGAACTTATCATTTTACCTGAATTAAAATTATCTTTAAGTATTGATTTGAATGTACCTCTATTCAACAACAGTATATTAAGATATTTTTTCTGCAAACATACATGCATGTTTATTATAGTAAAAAATTACTAAAAGTTTAGTTCTCTGTCAATTACATTATTTACACAATTAAAATTACCATATCTAGTGTTCATCAAACTTCTAAAAGTGTTCATAAAAGTGACACTTCTGGCAATGTTCATTATACTATTGCAAGCATTCATTATAATATTAGCAGTATTCAATAAACTATTGCCAGTATTCATAACATTATTGCCAGTATTCAATGAACTACATGGTGGTCCAAAAAAATTGGAACATTTGATAATTGAACTCAGAATCGCTATTTTTTCTCTAAAATGCACCAAAATTTTACCGAGTACTGTTCAATCACTTATTTATCTGATGTAAAGTTTATAGGACCAAACAACAAAGTTAATGCATTAAACTAGAGAATGTTTGATATGACCCCTTTTCTCCTGAATTACAAGTTGAAGCCTGGGACTCAGTTTTGAAATGATTCATTCACTTTGCTGTTCGTTTAATTTTGTCCAAGCCATCTTGATTAAAAATTCAGCTTGAACAAACTACTTATATGTTTGTCTTGGAAAATCAAATGTATGAACATATTCAACATTTTTTTACCCAAATTGATGTGTATCAAGCATATTTTGATGGCTATTGTTGGATATATTACTGATTAAATATTCTCCAGAAAGAGGCCAGGGCAGTCTGTTTTGACTGGTAAATGAACCCCCTCCCCTTTCTTGTTCTAATATGAATAATATTAATTTAATATATCAATATATGTATATCAGTATAATAAAGGAGTTTCCCAGAACACAAATGATATATCATGTGTTCTTAGAGGTGGTCTTTAATAAAGCCTTGTGAATAACTAGTCAGTTTCCCCTCTACTGAAAAGTGGAAACAATGATTTTGTCAGTTTAGTAGATGTACGGGTTATGCAATCGCTCACCTCTGACATGTTCTTTCTTTCCTACTCTTAAATAAAAATAACTAGACTTGGGAAATTGAACGAAGTTCAATTTCAGACTCCAGATCCAGACTTTTTTAAGCCCAGTCATCTAAAATAAGCCGAGTCATCCAGAATAAGCGGAGTCATCCAGAATAAGATAGATGGATAAAACAGGAAGGTAGGATAGGATAGAATGGGAAGGAACGATAGGATAGAATAAGAAAGAAGGTTAGGATAGAACATAATAGGAAGAAAGGATATGATAGGAGAGGATAGGATAGGAAGGAAAGGATACGAAGGAAGGATAGGATAGGATCAGATAGGAAGGATGGATGAATTTTTCAATATTTTCTTCTCTACTCTTGACTTTCTATCAGGACACCATCAGATCGATTTTCCCAAATTTCAAAACGCCATAACTTCCGAACTGGAAGTCGGATCTAAATTTGATTTAAACATTCGGATTCCTGACAAAATTCTACCCCTAATTCATAACTCATACATTAAATTTGGCGAATTTTTATTTTGACCTACTTTTTGGACACGCCATAACTTCGGAACCGGAAGTCGGATCGAATTTTGGTTTGCAGATTCGGATTTCTGAGAAAATTCTATTCTTAATTCATAACTCAAATGTTATATTTGGAGAACTTTTTATTTTGACCTACTTCTCGGACACCATATCTCAAAAGTGGGTCAAAATACTTTCTGACGGCAAAAGGCTAACGCTATTAGCACACTCTTGGCTACATGTATACACAATTTCGAAGAATATAATTAAAGTGTAGTGTCAGAATCGCAAAAATAAGAAAAAACTTTGAATTTGACCTAGATTTTGACCTAGGCATTTTGGTGTCCTAATTTTAAAGCTAGATGGCTTTTGAGGTCTCATTCTTTTAAAAGCTTTCATTATATTTAGCTGAACTTAGTCTATATTTCGTATTTTTCACTTCAAAAAAATCTTTTTTCCCATTGACTTAACATGGGCTCAAAATTTAGCGATTTTTGAGCTTTCAAAACGCCATAACTTCAGAACCGGAAATCTGATCTAAATTTCGTTTTCAGATTCGGAATCCTGAGAAAATTTCCTATAAAACTAATATCCTGGACATTTGATTCGGAGAAATTTTTTTTGGACCTCGTTTTCGGACACCGATATCTCGAAATCGGTTTGAGATATCAAAAAACTAAATCGACATTTATAATACTACTTTTTTATCAGGAACACAATGAAAGAAAAACGGATCAAAAATATTGAAGGACGACTGAGAAAATCGAAAAAAGTGACAAAGTACTGGATTTGACCTAGTTCTTGACCTTTGACCTAGATAAAAATTTGACCCAATTTCCCACCAACTAGATACTGAACCTAAATAAACTGTATTATGGTCTTTACTGGATACCCCATAGTTACTGAAAAAACTCCCGAAGAAGAATAATAACTAGACTTGGGAAATTGAACGAAGTTCAATTTCAGACTCCAGATCCAGACTTTTTTAAGCCCAGTCATCTAAAATAAGCCGAGTCATCCAGAATAAGCTGAGTCATCCAGAATAAGATGGATGGATAAAACAGGAAGGTAGGATAGGATAGAATGGGAAGGAACGATAGGATAGAATAAGAAAGAAGGATAGGATAGAACAGAATAGGAAGAAAGGATATGATAGGAGAGGATAGGAAGGATAGGAAGGAAAGGATACGAAGGAAGGATAGGATAGGATAGGATCAGATAGGAAGGATGGATGAATTTTTCAATATTTTTTTCTCTACTCTTGACTTTCTATCAGGATACCATCAGATCGATTTTCCGAAATTTCAAAACGCCATAACTTCCGAACCGGAAGTCGGATCTAAATTTGATTTAAACATTCGGATTCCTGACAAAATTCTACCCCTAATTCATAACTCATACATTAAATTTGGCGAATTTTTATTTTGACCTACTTTTTGGACACGCCATAACTTCTGAACCGGAAGTGGGATCGAAATTTGGTTTGTAGATTCGGATTCCTGAGAAAATTCTATACTTACTTCATAACTCAAACGTTAAATTTGGAGAATTTTTTATTTTAACCTACTTTTTGGACACCATATCTCAAAAGTGGGGCAAAATACTTCCTGACGGCAAAAGGCTAACACTATAAGCACACTCTTGTCTACATGTATACAAAATTTCGAAGAATATAATTAATCTGTAGTGTCAGAATCGCAAAAATAAGGAAAAACCTCGAATTTGACCTAGATTTTGACCTAGGCATTTTGGGGTCCAAATTTTGAAGCTAGATGGCTTTTGAGGTCCCATTTTTTTAAAAGCTATCATTATATTAAGCTGAACTCAGTCTATATTTCGTATTTTTCACTTCAAAAAAATATTTTTTCCCATTGAATTAACATGGGCACCAAATTTAGCGATTTTTGAGCTTTCAAAACGCCATAACTTCTGAACCGGAAGTCCAATCTAAATTTGGTTTTCAGATTCGGAATCCTGAGAAAATTTTCTATAAGACTAATATCCTGGACATTTGATTCGGAGAATTTTTTTTCGGACCTCGTCTTCGGACACTGATATCTCGAAATCGGTTCGAGATATCAAAAATCTAAATCGTGTTTCTTCATACTACTTTTTTATGAGGAACACAATGAAAAAAAAACCGGATCGAAAATATTGAAGGACGACTGAGAAAATCGAAAAAAGTGACAAAGTACTGGATTTGACCTAGTTCTTGACCTTTGACCTAGATAAAAATTTGACCCAATTTCCCACCAACTAGATACTGAACCTAAATATACTGTATTATGATCTTTACTGGATACCTTATAGTTATTGAAAAAACTCTTAAAGAAAAATAATAATAATAAGAAGAATACTGGCAAAAACAATAGACTCCAGATTGACATCTGGAGTCTAATAAGAATAAGAATACTGGCAAAAACAATAGACTCCAGATTTTCAATCTGGAGTCTAATAATTTAGGGTATTCTTAAGTTGACAATAACACAATAGTTTCCCAATAAACCATAGATGTTAATACCTCATGTCAACTAAATATGATTTTATAAAATGTGTATAGCAATCAACATGTTCATTAAAGCTTTGAAATAAAGAATACTTGAAAAAGTACCTGCGAAATTGACAAGTGTATATTTAAGAAAAGAGGGTCATATCAAACATTGACTAGTTTAATGCATTAACTTTGTGATTTGCACCTATAAACTTTTCATCAGAGAGATAAGTGACTGATCTATGCTCAGTGAAATTTTGGTGCATTTTAGAGGAAAAATAAATGTTTTGTGTTCAATTAACAAATGTTCCAATTTTTTTGGACCACCCTGTAATTGTTAGTATTCATTATAATATTGGCAGTATTCAATAACTTTTTCCAGTATTCATTAAACTATTGCCAGTATTCGTTTAACTATTGACGGTATTCATTAAGCTATTGGCAGTATTCAGTTAACTATTGGCAAAATTCAACACAATATTGGCATGTTCATCAGCCATCCTCCTAAGCAAGTATCCAGAATCTGTACCTCCTTCTTCCCCCTGCTATAACCAATTTGGAAGCGCCCGATTAAACTGAATCACGTGATCTTATCATGCGCAATGACTTATACATGATTTCTGTCCATAATTAATATATAATGGGGTATGTTTAAAAAAATGTCTCATATTTCTATTAAAAAATCTATTATAGAATAAAATGCCTTTCAAAAAATAATGGAGAATCCATATCACTTAACATACAGATTTAAAAACTTTGTATACAGAATTAACATTTTTATAGTAATGTGCTTTCTATATAGTAGCTATGAGACATAATGCCCAGTCTGTAAGACTGATAAGTTTGTTTGTTTCCCTTTATCTGATATGGCCAAAATGATGCATCTTTAATGTTAATTATGAAAAGAACTCCAATTATTTAGTGAGAATGTTTTTTCAAATGTATCCATATATGTGTAGTTAACAACTTACAGACTTACATCAAGAGTATGACTCACTTAAATTTAAAAAATACAAACACGAGAACTATTTTGATATTGACTGTATATTTATGTGTGAAACACATTATTCATAACAGATTTAATTACCATGTTCTTTCTTGGCAAATTTATAATAATGCTCAACACAACAATACCTACTACATATTAATATTCTCATGGGTTTAGGCAAATCAAAATGCTTGAACAGCCAATTAAAAAGGCTGAACAGCTAATTAAAACGGTTGAACAGCTAATTAAAACGGTTGAACGGCTAATTAAAATGCTTGACCAGAAATAGGGTTCATAGTTCATTGAGGGTTTATTTATTTATTCAATTGCTTCAATAAGTGCTAAGAAATCTCAAATAGCAAGTATATGAAACTGAAAATAATATTTTCAGAATTTTTGTATTTCATTTTTATTTATTTAGTTTCACCATAGGGATTCAATAGATTGAAAGTCCATGGTTTTACTGTATTCACTAGGGCAGGGCATTTGTACTGAAAGGCGTTTTCAGTTTAAATAATATGTGTCAATTGAAAAATAAAAAAACGGGGCTTATTTTTCAAAACTCTAATCAAACTGAGAGTTTCTCTGTAATAAGGTTTGTTTTTGCCTTGCCAAATTATTTTTGTTTTGTTTATGGATTAATGGATTAATAAAGTTTCTTTAGACACATCCTTCAAAGCAGACTCTAATCAAACTAGAGAGACCGAGTCTTACTGTAATCAGAGTTTTTAAAGTTATGCTTATCAACTTAATTATTTGAAACACATCCTGTAATGTCTGATTGCATTTTCAAATAAAAATATCAAATCAATAATCAGATTATTTTCAAATTGAAGGATTTCTTCCTTCCAGACACATTTTACTTCCTTTATAATTGTGATGATTACAAGGTGAAGTATAAGTGTCTGAATTTGTAAAATTCAAGACTTGACCGAATCAAGATTATTTCAAATGTTTTTGCAATAACTTAAAAAGTAGCGGAGGGATTTTGTAAAAATGATAGTCATGGCAGCAAGGGGATTTGCTATGCCTTAGCATTGCTGCTATCTAGATAATATACATGCGAGTGAGACAATCACCATCCTTCAAGGTTAGATGGAAATTGGTTCAATATATTTTCATTCACAAGACAAGTTTACTTAACTATTTCAATACTTTAAATATCTTTTTGATCAAACCATTTAAATTCTGACACGTATGCATGAAATACATACATTTTAAAATATATTTTAAAGACCAATATAATTATTTTGTGTTGTATTGAGACAATATTGCCATAGTTTTTAATGGTTGCATTGTAACCGTTGGCATTGTTGCATAAATGATTGGATCAATGATTGTGCAATGATTGTGCAATGGTTTAAATTCGGACTTTCAAGGTTGAATTTTTTATAAGGGATCACCTAAACAAGTTAATAATAAGACAGTATTACATTCACAAAAAATACTCCAAGGCTGTCTTCGTAGCAGACCCCATCATGTAAACAGGGCTTAGAGAGACATCCAGTTGGTTCTATGGTTGTCCCAGGATTGCAACCATCACCTAAACAAGTTAATAATAAGACAGTATTACATTCACAGAATACTCCAAGGCTGTCTTCATAGTAGACCCCATCATGTAAACAGGGCTTAGAGAGACATCCAGTTGGCTCTATGGTTGTCCCAGGATTGCAACCATCACCTAAACATGTTAATAATAAAACAAGGCATTAACATGACAAAATGTCACCACCTAGTTGCTCACAATATTATGAGTTCAAACTTAAGTCAGATTTGAATTTCTGAGAACTTGTAAAGTCAAATTTGAACTTCTGAAAAGATGTAGATGATTTTGAAAAAAAATTTGGTCAATTTGAAGCAAGTTGAAAACAGACCTTTTTGACCTTTTTTGACCTTGAGAAGGTCATTAAAGGTCAAATGTCAAATCTAAAGTCAGATTTGAATTTCTGAGAACATGTAGATGATTTTGAAAAAAAAATTAGTCAATTTGAAGCAAGTTAAAAAAATACCTTTTTGACCTTTTTCGACCTTGAGAAGGTCATTGAAGGTCAAATGTCAAATCTAAAGTCAAATCTAAAGTCATATTTGAATTTCTGAGAACATGTAGATGATTTTGAAAAAAAATTTAGTCAATTTGAAGCAAGATGAAAAAATACCTTTTTGACCTTTTTTGACATTGAGAAGGTCATTGAAAGTCAAATGTCAAATCTAAAGTCAGATTTGTATTTCTGAGAACATGTAGATGATTTTGAAAAAAAATTTAGTCAATTTGAAGCAAGTTGAAAAAAGACCTTTTTGACCTTTTTTGACTTTGAGAAGGTCATTGAAGGTCAAATGTCAAATCTTAGGTCAAATCTAAAGTCAGATTTGAATTTCTGAGAACACGTAGATGATTTTGAAATTTTTTTTTAGTCAATTTGAAGCAAGTTGAAAACAGACCTTTTTGACCTTTTTTGACCTTGAGAAGGTCATTAAAGGTCAAATGTCAAATCGAAAGTCAGATTTGAATTTCTGAGAACATGTAGATGATTTTGAAAAAAAAAATTAGTCAATTTGAAGCAAGTTGAAAAAAGACCTTTTTGACCTTTTTTGACCTTGAGAAGGTCATTGAAGGTCAAATGTCAAATCTAAAGTCATATTTGAATTTCTGAGAACATGTAGATGATTTAGAAAAAAAATTTAGTCAATTTGAAGCAAGATGAAAAAATACCTTTTTGACCTTTTTTGACATTGAGAAGGTCATTGAAGGTCAAATGTCAAATCTAAAGTCAGATTTGAATTTCTGAGAACATGTAGATAATTTTGAAAAAAAATTTTAGTCAATTTGAAGCAAGTTGAAAAAAGACCTTTTTGACCTTTTTAGACTTTGATGGGGTCATTGAAGGTCAAATGTCAAATCTTAAGTCAAATCTAAAGTCAGATTTGAATTTCTGAGAACATGTAGATGATTTTGAAAAAAAATTTAGTCAATTTGAAGCAAGATGAAAAAATACCTTTTTGACCTTTTTTGACATTGAGAAGGTCATTGAAAGTCAAATGTCAAATCTTAAGTCAGATTTGTATTTCTGAGAACATGTAGATGATTTTGAAAAAAAATTTAGTCAATTTGAAGCAAGTTGAAAAAAGACCTTTTTGACCTCTTTTGACCTTGAGAAGGTCAAATGTCAAATCGAAAGTCAGATTTGAATTTCTGAGAACATGTAGATGATTTTGAAAAAAAAATTTAGTCAATTTGAAGCAAGTTGAAAAAAGACCTTTTTGACCTTTTTTGACTTTGACAAGGTCATTGAAGGTCAAATGTCAAATCTTAAGTCAAATCTAAAGTCAGATTTGAATTTCTGAGAACACATAGATGATTTTGAAAATTTTTTTTAGTCAATTTGAAGCAAGTTGAAAACAGACCTTTTTGACCTTTTTTGACCTTGAGAAGGTCATTGAAGGTCAAATGTCAAATCTTAAGTCAGATTTGAATTTCTGAGAACACGTAGATAATTTTGAAAAAAAAATTTAGTCAATTTGAAGCAAGTTGAAAACAGACCTTTTTGACCTTGAGAAGGTCATTGAAGGTCAAATGTCAAATCTAAAGTCAGATTTGAAGGTCAAATGTCAAATCTAAAGTCAAATCGAAAGTCAGATTTGAATTTCTGAGAACATGTAGATGATTTTGAAAAAAATTTAGTCAATGTGAAGCAAGTTGAAAAAAGACCTTTTTGGCCTTGAGAAGGTCATTGAAGGTCAAATGTCAAATCTAAAGTCAGATTTGAACTTCTGAGAACATGTAGATGATTTAGAAAAAAATTGAAGTCAGTCTAAACAGTATTTGTTAAGTTATAGGAAGTTGTAAGAAATTGTTACAGATGCCGGACACCAACCGCCGGACGCCAACCACCAACCGCCGGACGCCAACCACCAACCGCCATCGCAAAAAAAACGGAGACCATAACAATATGTCACCACTTTTGGTGGTGACATAATATTACATTCACAGAATACTCCAAGGCTGTCTTCATAGTAGACCCCATCATGTAAACAGGGCTTAGATAGACATCCAGTTGGTTCGATGGTTGTCCCAAAATAGCAACCATCACCTAAACATGTTAACAATAAGACAGTATTAGAGAATTACATGCTGCACAAGTAAGTTGACCATGGTCGAAGCTAACTGACTTGGGCTTGGGGCTTTGGATCATATGCCAAACATAAGTGAATTATCATTTACACTTAAAACTAATAACATAGCATTACTCGACAGAGTAGCAAACCAAACATATTTTATCAAATCATCTCCATTTTGAACTTTTCATGATTCATATTACCAGGCAGAAATCCCAATGGTCCGGCAACTGCACAAGTACAATACTTGTTCCACATAAACACACAAACATTAAGCTAGAGGGCCTCACCTGTACAAGAGTCTACCTTGTCATCACATGTATTCCCTGTATATCCAGCTAGGCAGTTACACTGATAGCTATCTGCTGATAAATCACACGAAGCACCATTCAGACATGGGGTACTAATACACCAATTGATCTGAAAATAATGTTATATGACTGTTCAATAATCTAATATATTTCTATGAGGGTTTCTAAACAGAAGTTGTGTTTAATTTTTGAAATTGACTCATCCATGCAAAAGTTACCTTCGTAGTGTTTTTTTAAATATAAAATTCTTATTTATTGGCTAAGAGAATCTGAATGGAATAAAATCAAATTGAAAACGTTTTTGAGTCATACATCTTACCTGGTCACAAGTCTCTCCTATGTATGGTATTTGACAGGTACAAGTGAAGGAATCCCCCTCATTTTTACATATAGCACTATTCTTGCAAGGCTGACTTTGACATGGTGATGCCACATCACACGTGTCACCCAGATATCCTTCAGTGCACTCGCACCTAAATGTATCCCCTGTGTTGACACATACTCCTTCATTCTGACAAGGACTGCTGTAACAAGCCTGGTAGGTCTCACATTGTGATCCTGTATACTGAATGGGGCATTCACACTGAAATGTTGTTCCCGTGTTTTGACATGTTCCTGAGTTAAGACATGGACCACTGTAGCATGCAAGATATTGTTCACATCGACTCCCACCATAATTTGCTTTGCATGAACATACAAATCCAGAGTCTGAGTTTTCACATGTAGCTCCATTCAAACACGGTGAGGAGACACAAGGGAGTGCAGTCTCGCAGTGAATACCAGTATAATGCTCGCGACACACACAAAGAAAGTTTTCAGCCTGTTCTGAACAATAAGCTCCATTTAAACAAGGCTCTGAGGCACATGGTAGGAAAGTCTCGCAATGTGATCCTGTGTAATCGAATGGACATGTACAATAGTAGGAGACCTCATTCAGATCGGTACATTCACCCTGGTTCAAGCATGGTAACATGGAGCATGGTTTGCGATGTTCACAGTATTGCCCCATGTATTCGTCAGTACAGAGGCATGTGGTGACTCCAGGGGTGTCTTCTACACATGAGCCCCCATTAATACAAGGTGAGCTATTACATGCAGCCTCAGCCTCACAGTGCATACCTGTAATCAATTAACAGGTAAATACAGGTAGGTGAGATTACACTCTCCGAATATATCAATATATAAATCAGGGAATGGGGAAGGATGAAATATGAGAAGGGAAGTATGACAGCAAAATACTAATACTAATATTAACCTCTTGACTACCCAGAATGATGAGATTTCTCGTCACCTCAGAAATGACCTTGAAACCCAGAGGGACAAAATTGTTCACAAAAATTGCTCTTATTTGAACAATTTTCATCCAATTTACACAAAAATTGTTTTAAAACATGTAGAAATGATCTCTGCCATCTAATTTTACTAAGTTGAGCATCTAAAGTTGTAAAGGTATGTAGTAAAATGTCAAAAGGTGACAAAAAATGAAAAATTTTCTGGTTTCAATCAATTTTAGAGCCTGGGATTCAAGAGGTTAATCAATAAGTTTATATTTCATTTCATTACATTAATTTTCATATTTTTATATTCCATAATTGGACTATTTTGAGTATTTTTTATTGCAGGTTGTTCCTAAGTTCATAAAAAAATCAAATATTTTTTGTTATTCATACCTGAGAAAGTGAGTGGGCAGGTACAAACATAGCTCTCCCCTACTTGGCTACAGAGACCCCCATTCATACAGGGGCTAGATGAACAAACATTTGTCCTGTACTGACAAAGGGCCCCTGTAAAACCTGGAAGTAACAGAAGTATATAATAATCTCATAGCTTGGAGTCACCTGTTATACCAAATGTGCAGAAAAATGAGCTATCCCCTAAAACTGATTTGCCGCAAGAGCAATACTTTTCAAAATATGTGATGAATTTCAAATCAGCTTCCCATTTCTCTGTCCTCTAAATGTATAATTATAAGTTGCTTCTCTTTAAGTTAGTGATGTTTGTAAGCAAATGTTTTTCTAGTTTAGCCAATTGTAATTTGTAAGGGAACAATGATAAATAGACAAATTACATCAATCATGTACTTTTACATTTCTCTTCAATGACACCTTATTATCGGAGAACTTCAAGTTAAAGTACACAAACCTTCCTCACAATAGCACTGTACTGATCCTATTGCTAAATGACTACCACAATAAGCCTTTCCCTTCCGACAGCAAAAGCCTGAGTTTTCACATGGGTTAGGTTCACAAGGGTCAATTTCAGTCTGACATGTAAGGCCTGTGAATCCCTCATTGCATTCACATGTGAAACTATTAGATCCATCTAAACACTGACCTGAAATAATATCATGAAATGAACACTTATAAAATGTAAAATGGAGGGAGGAATATAAACCAATGGTGTAAACACCCTGGGTATAGTCTGTCACGTGACTTCATGGATGACGTGTGCGCGAGTGATTCGCATTTTCTTTCGCTTGAGGTTTGTAATCACACTTTTTACATGTTTTAAGATTTTGTATCTCTGTGAAACTTGTCCCGTACCATCAATGTCTGAAGACGATCTAATTCACCAAATATCTCATCCAAGCGTGTCCCGGTTAAAGAGAAATTCGCACTTTTGTGTCTCGCAAAATGACGTGTGCGCGAGTAAATCGAATTTTACGAAGGATGGGTGCGCGAGTCTAAAATATTTTTATTCACTTGAGACAATTCTGCAAGCTAAGGCAGAATACAACTCACGTGACATTTGTTTTTGTCATCTTAAAGTAGTATGTTAAAGAATAGTTTGCTATTTTGTAGATGTTTCATGTATGGCACATACATGTCTACGTTTAATGACAATAAATGTTTTGAAATAGCTTGTAGGGCTGTCCGGCATTGCAGGTGAATTAAAATTTGAACCAAAAATTGAATCTAAAAGATTCAGCTGCTGGGGCAGATGACTTAAAACCTAATATTATTAAACAATGCAGCAAAAATTTTCTAAAACCTCTCCTACACATATTCAATAGCTCACTCTTACAGGGTGTTTTCCCAGATAAACTAAAAACTGCTATAGTTACCCCTATTCATAAAAAAGATGAACTTAATCTATTTACCAATTATCGTCCTATATCAGTTCTACCTGTCTTTTCAAAGATCCTTGAGAAACTTATGTATGTAAGGATGAGTAATTTTATTATTAGATTTGGAATTTTGTATTTGAATCAGTTTGGATTTAGAGAGAAAAGATCTACTTACATGGCAATTTTACAATTTGTAGAAAAAATTAAGAAATCTGTTGACAGCAATGAATTCAGCATTGGGCTTTTTCTAGATTTTTCAAAAGCATTTGATACCATTGATCATAGCATACTGTTACAGAAATTGGAATTTTACGGTTTTAGGGGACCTGCTCTAAGGTGGGTCTCTAGTTATTTAACAAATTGCAACCAGTGTACTAAATATAATGATAAAATTTCATCTTTCAAAACTATCAAATGTGGTGTTCCACAGGGATCTGTCTTAGGGCCCTTATTTTTTATACTCTATATCAATGATATCTACTTGACCTCTCCAGCACTTCTCTTTGTTCTGTTTGCTGATGATACAAATATTTTAATCAGTGGGAAAACCTTAATGAAATGAATACTGAATTAAATAGTATCAGAGATTGGCATATAGCCAATAAACTGTCACTCAATATTAATAAAACTAAGTACATATTATTTACTTCAAAGCAGAAAAAGGTAAATACCAGGAACTTAGAGATATTTATTGATGGTAAAATTATTGAACGAGTAACACACACTAATTTTCTTGGTTTGGTTATTGACCAACATCTTTCATGGAATGAACATATTAGTAAAGTCAAAATGAAAATATCAAGGATAGTTGGCATTCTGTACAAGATTAACCATTTACTAGATAGGAAAACCTTTATGACTATATATCATTCTCTAATCCATTCTTATTTAACTTACAGCAATATCATTTGGGGAAATGCTAATATCACTTCAATTAATTCGCTTCACTTAATACAAAAGAAATTTGCAAGATTAGCTACTCAGAGTGGATTTAGAGATCACACTCCGCCATTATTTAAAGAATTAGGAATTCTCACCATTTCTGATATATTTAAAGTCAATGTGGCAGAATTCTTCTTTAAGTGGCAAAACAATGAAAATAACCTACATGATATATTTCCCAACTTATTTACAAGACATAATGAACTACATAAGTATGATACAAGAGGTAAATATAACTATGCCTTGCCTAAATTTAAAACAGAAACCTTTGGCAGAAAGATGCTTTCATTTTCTGGACCATCTATTTGGAATAGCCTCCCATCAGAAATAAAAACATCAAGGTCAAGTAAATGTCTTAAGTCTAAATATAAGAAACATATTCTGGCGTTGTATGCATGATCTTCTTCTTTTTATATTTATGTACTGCAGCCTCCTTATTCATGCTCTATCTCCTTTATAGAAATATATACAGATATAACTCCAAGCCTGGGTACTGGACACTAAACTTGATAGCTTTTTATCTATGATGCACCTCCCCCTCCCTCTTCGATTTTCCCTTAGACAAAACACAACCTTGATATGTTTGATTCCTTGACCTTACTTTTACTCTTAATATCTGTAATATTATGCTTTTACATGTACGGGTATAAACATCAGAAATGATGTCACCTGTTAATTCTTTTATATGTACCATGTATTATTGTATTATTAAGGAATAAATTGAATTGAATTGAATTGAATTGTGTCTAGCTTGCAGAATTATTTAAAATGAATATAAATATGTTAGACTCGCGCACACATCCTTTGTAAAATTTGATTTACTCGCGCACACGTCATTTTGCGAGACACAAAAGTGCGAATTTCTCTTTAACCGGGACATGCTTGGATGAGATATTTGGTGAATTAGATCGTCTTCAGACATTGATGGTACGGGACAAGTTTCAAAGAGATACAAAATCTTAAAACATGTAAAAAGTGTGATTACAAACCTCAAGCGAAAGAAAATGCGAATCACTCGCGCACACGTCATCCATGAAGTCACGTGACAGACTATACCCAGGGTGGTAAATCATATATGAATTATATAATTATATGAATTTATGTTTTCATTTGTCCAAAAATGATTGATGAATGGACAGAAGGAAGGATGGACAGAAAGACAAACACATGAGTATGTTATTCCCTAGGGCCACCATGTAAATCAAAAAAGCCCAATTAACTAAATGTATGTGACAAACTTTTCATTCATGTAACTTAAATTGTTAGTCCCCGTCTAAAGTTTGAAAATATTTTTTTATCATTCATTTACTATTTGTCAGGACTTAAAAAGTGATTTTAGAGATTTTTGAACGAAAAAATATTTTTGAAAAAAAAGGTTGTGAGCATTTCATTTCTCAAATATTCAAATTTCCCGCCATTTTTCAAAAAAAGTTGAAATTTCTTAATCATCAAATATTTCTCAATGCATTTCAAAAAAGATTATCTTTTTAACGCCAATGCAAAGATTGAACAAAGGACACACTATTTCAATAATAAAATGCCATATATAATGGGCCACTTCAATGTTTTAGCATATCAAAAATATTTTGAAACATTAGTGATGTCACTAAGGTAGCAAAAACTTTTTAAAAAAAATTGAAATTTTTTTTCTATATCAATCTTTTCTAAATATGTTAGACTTTCATAAAAAAACAATGTTGATTGTCTAACCAGGTTAAAGGAAGAATAAATTATGTTTTAGATATCATGGTACCATTGGTTTCTATGAGAACTAAAATTTTGAAATGCATTTTTCTCAGAACCATTTTCATGCACTGATAAGTTCATTTCTCGTTTATTTATGAACTGATTTTCTTAATTTTTTCGGCAAAAACATGGGAGGATGAATGCTATGCATTGGTATGAATTGTGGCTAATTAGAAGATATGAGTGACCTCTAAAAGTTGGTTTTAAATAAATTCACAAATTTTGGAACAAAAGTCTATCAAAAACCACTTTTTGAAATTTAAACAAAAAGTTTCACATATCACACTTTGATAACATTGGGTAAGACTACAATATAAGCCAAAATGGTTTAAACTTTATATGGGGCCTTTAATAACTTGCTCTTTGATAATACAGTCTTAATTTTACAATATATTTTCTCACCATTAGCTCCACATAGGTTGCTGATGCATTCATCACGGTCTATTTCACAGTTCAGCCCTGAATAACCAGGCAGACAGGAACACACAGGGTCTCCTTCAGGGTCCACTGAACACACAGCAAAGTTCTTGCATGGATCACCTAAAACATTGGAACATTCAAACATTCGAACTAATCAACCAAATAATGATGCTAATTAATTTGTAACCAAATTTGAAAAAATGAACATAGGTCTCTACTTTTTCTAATATTCATAAAGTGTTTCAGATATTGCAAAAGATGCTAACCTAAGGCTTTACTGATCAAACAAGTTCAATGAATATTCAGTATGTTCCAATATATTACCTACCTTGCGGGCAGAGTTGTTGTCTGTCACAATGCTTTCCAGCCAGGTTACTAGGGCAACTACATGTGTATGCGTTATGGCCATCTACACATGGTGCCCCACCCATACAGGGATTTGAACTACAGTCATTTACACTAAACTGGCAAACTGCACCTACAATCAACAAGGCATTAACAATGTCAAAATACCACTATTTTCTTGTTATAAGGCAGTCTCTCAAATTACGGAAACATCTGTTGCATAATATAACGTCACACAAGATTTAATGAGTCAAGATAATTCACTATATATACAATCAAAAAAGCATGAACTAGTGAGTTGTCAAAACTTCATTTAACATCAGATAAGGACATCGAATGATAGATAAATATGAGGGAGGTTTAAAGCTACAGGGTTTTAAAAGAATGTGAAAAGAGATGCTCTAGTTATTAGTTAATTCCCCCATTGCCAAATTGAATATAAAGGTGCTATAAGGTAAATTGTTGTAATTAGGTCCCTGGAATTCTCAATTAAGAGGGGGCTATCAATCCCTGGGGATCATAATATTACATGTTCATGTACAAGTTCTCTTAGGAAGACACACATCAATAAAATATCACACTTTGAAGGGAAAAATGGCTACCATGTACTTGAACAAGCATGGCCAAAACCTGATCAGATTTTGACACAATGTGCCACCATGTACCTGAACAAGCATGGCCAAAACCTGATCAGATTTTGACACAATGTGCCACCATGTGCCTGAACAAGCATGGCCAAAACCTGATCAGATTTTGACACAATGTGCCACCATGTACCTGAACAAGCATGGCCAAAACCTGATCAGATTTTGACACAATGTGCCACCATGTACCTGAACAAGCATGGCCAAAACCTGGTCAGATTTTGACACAATTTTCAAGTTGAACAGATAAGCAGTTTTTTAGCTTAAAGCACAAGTGAAATAGGTTTTCTCAACTTGCAGCTACAAAAATGTGGTTTTCTCCATTGTAAGGCCAATGAGGAGTTCTCGCGAATAACCATTATAAAAGAAATGACAAGTAACTGTGAAATCTTTGGGGGAATGTCACAAAACATTTAAATATTGCTTACTTAAACAACTACCACATTCAGTAAAATGAAACAGTTGCAACATAACTGATTAGATGACATATCCAAATACATACATCCATTATTAAATAAAATTGATTCCTTTAGGTTTAAATTACTATTTCAGTTGTCCCTCAACCTAGCCAATCAGTGGCATGATGTACTCACCCTCCCACCCTGGTGCACATTCACACAGGAATCCATTCTCTTGGTCCTTACATGTGGCCTGGTTCTTGCATGGATTACTAATGCATTCGTTATATTCCTCCTGGCATTGACGCCCTGTGAACCCATCTCTACACAAACATTGGAACCCTCCCTCTGATGCTATAGAGCATGTCCCTTGGTTCTTACAAGGCTGAGAGGCACATGCGTTAACACCCTCGTCACACTGCTTTCCTGCATACCCTGTAAAATATTATTATAAAATTAATATTAAACAGATAAAACACTGAAAACCTCTATTTGATGCTGTAAGGCATATGCCTTGGATCCAACATTGCTGATATGCTGCACTACAGGGGCGGGCATTAATTCTTTCCTTATATTACACTATTAGTTTGTATATTCCAAAAAAAGACAGCATCAGATTTGCTAATCAAGTTTCTTAATAACAATTAATAAAAAATTAGTTGATTTTATGTGTGTTTTATGGGGTGAGTCAATTATAATGTAACGATTGTCAGAATTAGAGGTTAACAAAAGTGGTTGCTAGGTAGTAGTCTAAGAGTAGAATGTAGGTGTTTGTGATACATGACTAGTACTTCAGACCAATACAATAGTGATTACTATTGTATTGGTCTGAAGTACTAGTATTCTTCTTTTTTCAGAAATAACCTAGCTAATTAAAAACAAAAGCTAAAATGTGTGACAGTTATGACTGCTCCCTAAATAATAAAACACACCTTAGAACCAAATAAATTCTCTATTAAAGAAAACCCATGATCCATTAAAAACCATAAAATGTTTTTTCTCACATTCTGATTTTGAAACTGGAGTTATGACAATTCAGTGCTAATATCAGTGCTTTAGGATCAAAGTAATCTTACCTGGCCTGCAGTTACAATGGAAGCCATCTCTGAGAGGGGTACACACACCATTACTGCATGGGTCAGGGCTGCACACTGATGCATCTACAGGGGGTAGGGATGTTACTGGGGCTAATGTCTGCAAAAAATGTACAAACAATCAATCTTTTTATTGGGTTTATAATAATACTTTTAAGTATTTTACAAAACTCAACTTTGCATTCTAAATGATATAAAATCGATAAATTAGTAATTTCTCCAAAACAAAAGTAAGAAATAGGACCAATGGCATAAATTAAAAGGATGGCCCAACAGGATGAAAAAACAGAAGGAAAAGTGGGCGATTCCTTGCACCCACAATGGGTGATTTCTTGTGCCCACAATGTTAAACAACAAATCCCACTAAGAATATCCAAAACTTTATAAAAATGAGAAGCTTAAAAAGAAAATTGCATTCTTACTACAACATCAGGTTTTGAAGTTACTTTCTGAGTAGATCCACTTGGTTTTGATGTTGTTGTACTAGACTTTTCTATTGTGGTACTTAGTTTTACTGTTGTGGGGTTTGGCTGTATTGTTGTGGTGCTTGGTTTTGATGTTGGGGTACTAGACTTCTCTATTGCGGTACTTATTCTAACTGTTGTGGTGCTTGGTTTTACTGCTGTGGTACTTTGTTTTACTGTTGTGGTGCTTGATTTTACTGTTGGGGTACTAGACTTCTCTGTCATGGTACTTGGCTTCACTGTTGTGGTACTATCCTTCTTTGTTGTGGTACTTGGCTTAACTGTTGTGGTACTATTCTTCTTTGTTGTGGTACTTGGCTTATCTGTTGTGGTACTAGTCTTCTCTGTTGCAGAACTTATCCTAACTGTTGTGGTGCTTGGTTTTACTGTTGTGGTGCTTGGCTTAACTGTTGTGGTACTAGTTTTCTCAGTTGTGGTACTAGATTTTAATGTTGACATGAGGGTGGTGGTACTATTGAAATGAGATGTTACCTCTTCCCCAGAACCTGTCGTAACCTCACCCTCTACCTCACACCTCACCCCAGAAAAGCCAGGGCGGCATTGACAGATGAAATAACCAACTGAGGTGCCCTCTACAGGAGGGATGTTATTGCACGTCCCAGCATTGAGGCATGGCGATGAATCACATGCATTTCCTAGGAATGTAAAACAAAATTCTGTTTATTAGTAAATTATAAAACCAGTTGGACCATTACCATTCTCATCAAGAGAGCAAGCCACAGTCTCACAAACATGTATTTCAAGTTTAAAGTAAATACAAACATATTCAAATTAAATCAAATCTGAATTGTAATCAATGACTTGGCAAACAGCTTGTCAATGTATTTTTCAATCAACTTTTAAAATCTTATTAAATAAGTAAATTGCAATGTTAAGACCTTTGTACAAAATTTAATTTGCATATGAAATCAATAAATAAGTTATTAGTACAATATTTGCATATGAAATCAATAAATATACTGTCACTAAGCTAAGTAAACTTGGATATCTTCAATAATTTTTAAACATATTTTCATCAGATTCATTTTGCCCATAATGTAAATTTTTTTACATCTTTCCTATCACAGGATTCAAAATTCTCAGCTACCTGACTGCCAATGGTAATCACTTTCCATGCTTGGAAATGAACTTGGAGAAATGAGTTACTTATTCGGCAACTTGGAAATTGAGTTGCTTTTTGCAATCATGTTTTCAACTGTAGTCATAAATGCTTTTTCTACTGACCTGCAGCACACGTAGCATCAGATTCATCAGCTCCATTCTCACAATCAGCTCCTCCATCGCAGAGCCATGAATCTAAGATACACTCGCGTGGGTTGTCGGGGTTGCCACAGAACACCTGAATGAATGCTGGTGGAATGTTGGGGCAGTCATGTGGATATCCTTCAAAAGAAATAAAATACATTAGGTTCTTTTAGAATCTGCAGAAGGGGCATAAAATGACAATAGAATTCATAATGTGCCATGCGCACTTTCTCTCTGAACAGTCAGGTTAGAATGAATCACTGCAATTCATGTTGATAAATGATAACACATAAGCACATGATGATCTAATGCCATTCTAGAAACTGAAATACAAAAGACCATAAAAAACTTTTCGTTAACCACTGCCTCCAGGATTCCGTGTTTGCAGAGCGCCGACGGAATTTGCCTTTGCCCATGGAATTGCAAAATCAAAAAATATTTTGGTCAATCTAGGCAGAATTCTCCAATGAGTAGATATTTCCAAAAGTTAAAATTGTCAGTGTTACCTGTAACAATTTGACATATTTTCAGTCAAATCCCTTGTAGAAATAACCCAAAAATGACCAAATTATGCAAATTGAATGATTTTAAACTTCATTGTTTGATTTCTGTCGCTAGATGGGACCATGTATTGAGCAGTGACGTAGTGACTGACTGCGTAACTACATGTATTACAATATTTCCAGGCTCTTAGTATATCCATCACAATTATTTTCAACAGAATTTAGCATTTTAACTTGCTAAAAACTGGGGGGAGTGGTTTACAGTATGGAGTTGAAAGGTGCTGAATTGAAAAGAATCTGAAGTCTAGTTACAACCGATTCATATAGCAAGGCTCTCCCTCTGAATAAAGGAATGAATATGGTAGACTGTAAATCTAGTAAATCTAGTAAACCTCGTAAATCTAGTAAATCTAGTAAATCTAGTAAAATCTTGTAAAATCTTGTAAACTTTTTAGGGACCATTCATTTGATATCAATGTCAGTCTCAATGAAGAGTATTGGTGATTATGATTCCTTTTACAACATTAGAAAAATACCTTCTCTGCATTAAAATTCAGAGTCATTCCCTTCATCAAATAATCAATATACAAATTTTTTAACAAAATTGTGAAATATTATAATAAAAAATGATGTTTAAGGGGCTGATATGATATGGCTTTAAACTATTAATTACAAGGAATACAAGGAACATATCATAATCAAAACGTAAATGGAAAGCATTGTAGAAATGCCATACTATACTTTATGTATAGGTAAAGCAAATAGATCAATCAGTAAGTTGTCTCACTCTTCCCCTTACTACAGCATTTGATTGTTTTTATTATTTTTGGGGGTTGGCAAAATCAATTTTAAAATTGCCATTTATCCATTCCTCTCATATTGGGACTTCTACAAATATTGTCAATTGAACAGCATCGCCAAAAAATAAGCAATAACTAAATTATCTGATAGGCTAAGCATTATAACATTTTGTGAGGGAAAAACAAGCCTGTGTCATTTAGATGGTACGCATTGTCCCCTCAGTCCTTAAATATGTGGCTTAATTTGTTAATAGAGCATGCTTCTTGGGTGGGTTGTGTATGATGATAAAATGGGTGTACCATTTGATAACCATTTTGTTATCCAGTACTAACATATAGTTGTTTTGTAACTAAATATAATGAAATAAAAGATAGAATTTTTTCTACATGTTCATTTCATTCATACAAAGACATTTTCAGTGCTTTTTCGACATTTGCTCTTTATATCTTAGACATTGAATAATCAGTTTTTACAAGATTTTACTAGATTTACTAGATTTACTAGTTTTACTAGATTTACTAGATTTACTAGATTTACAGTCTACCAATGAATATACCAGTGGTGGGACTCGCCCAAATTTTCCGACTCATTTAGTGAGCAAATTAACGACGATTATTCAAATAAATTCGATTTTTTTTTCCAAATTTTTGAAGGGAACCTCCCAACCACTTTTTTGATGTAAATCATCGATGTAATTGAAAAGATGAATAAAGTTTCATGTGTTACATACCTTCAAACATGCATTTTGTTTATTTATCAACTCTAAGGGCTAATAACAAACAAAACAGACTCCCGGGGCCGGAAGTAAACTTTCAAAATGCATTTGTTTATTTTGCTACTGGAAGTTCCAGCTATTAAAATTCACAGCACCCCAAAGACAAGACAAGACCCTGAAGTAAGTTATATTTGAACTGTCTGATGACAATACTTAGTAGTAGTGTTCTAGCTACTATTGTTAGCTATAATGTTAAAGATATTCTCCTAGCAATGTCATATACAAACTTTTCATTCCAAATTATGTAGAGCACACTGAACGAACTGCTTGTGAAGATTAGGTTAGAAAAAAATGAACAAACAAGTTTGTTTACTACATGTTGTTTTACGTTTTATTAGCTGCTTATAGACCCACATGTAAGTACTTTTACAGTAGTGTTCTTGACTCGAATTGACGTAGCCCAACTCAAATGCTACCCAATTCTAGCAAAAATCGGAGATGAAAACGAAAATCAATTTTTTAACTTTTTTCCCCAAATGAGTGATTATTCGAGTTGCCGATTTATCGTACCATCACTAAAATATACAATGTAGTAAAATTTGGGTACAGATTTTGCAGAAGCTGTCAATTGGCCATGGAAAGTTTCGAAATGATTTTACATCAAAACTTAAGAACCCAAAGACGCCTCTGAGGAGCTGTAGTGTAACAACTGGATTTAGATATGAACTCTTTTGAAAACCCATAGATATGAAAGAGTGAAAAATTCAATGCTCCATGTCGGAATTGAACCCGGGACGTTCTGGTTCAAAGTCCACTGAGCACCATGTCTTATAAGTCAACACAGCTGAGCTATAGTCACTTGATATCCAGGATTATCTTGTGCCAAGACCATCACTCCATTCTGATCTTGTGTGCACTTGACGAAAAGTTCATAGCCTCTGATGGCAAACATTTTGGCCGATTAGCTTTCGCAAGAAGTAAGCCTATATTACTGCTAGTTGACACTGTCACTACTTTTTTTGTCTTTTGGGGAACGTTTCTTGTGGTGTAATGAATCCTTAGAGGTAAGAAATATATGTTTTTCATGTTTTGAAATATAACGTAGACACTGTATGCGCGCAAAGATCAGAACAAAGAGACAGTCTTGGTAAATCTAGTTATTACGAAAGCATGCCATTCAGTGAATGAGTACACATTTCTTTTTTGCTCTAACTCAAAGACTGAGTGTAGAGTATATTTAGTGAGTCACGTTCGCAATTGCTTGCAAAATGAAAAAGAATCAAAAGAAAAGTCCAACTGTCAAAAAGTCTTACCTTCTTGTGCATTAGTTTGGATTATGCCTGCGCATAGAAGTACAAGTATTATTCCTCGCATATCCCTGTATATACGTGCATCCAAATAACTGAATATTTGCTTCGAAACATTACGCAAACTCTAAATCTATGAGAAAATTATCAAAATAAAAACAAAGCAGTTTGATTTTTGTTTCGTGACGCGCCCAAATGGTGATTCATGACACACCAGAAATCAATAACATTGTTCTAGTTCAAAGTTTATTTATAGATGGCAAAGTAGAATAGTCAAGGAGGTGCTGACACCTTTCAAAGATGTAGCAACATAAAACTCCACACGATTTTCAGAAATCTGCATTGGATCATAGGAAGTTCAGCTATATAAAATTGTATTGAATTGTAAGAATTGTAGATGTAAGACTGACCACTGTAAATAAAGAAATAAACTAAACTATATACAGGGTGTCCCGAAAGTATGGGCCCCCCCCCTAGGCAGACATATACCAGTGTCGTCATAGTATGTGTGATATATCATTTTAAAGCTTATCCAAAGTTACATTGATTTGCCAAGTATCATGGTTCAACTCTCAAATGTGAAAAAATTACAGGCATTTCAAAATTTAGTGTTTGGTCAAAATTAAGTTCAATTTTACACCAAATCACTAGTCAATGTGTCCTTCCGGGCCATCTTAACAGCAGCAATTCATTTCGGGTCGGATGGATATGTAGTTAGAAAAAGAGAATGGTGAGGGTACAATCTCTAAGTAAACTCTTCTAAAGTGCCTTAATAGGTTTTAAGAGGGATATAAAATTCAACACCCCTATTTGAAGGGCTTTTAAGGTCATATCTGAAGATAATTGCTGCTGTTAACATGGCCAAGGGGGGACTCATTGACTAGTAATGTGGTGTAAAATTGAACTTTATTTTGACAAAACACTAACTTTTAAAATGACTGTAACTTTTTCCCATTTGGGAGTTAAACCATGATACTTGGCAAATCAATGTAACTTTGGATGAGCTTTAAAATGATATATGACACATACTATGAGGACACTGGAATATGTCTGCCTAGGGGAGGACCCATACTTTCGGGACACCCTGTATCATATATGCTTCTTGGATTGGATGTTTTATATGATGTTTTAATGAGACAACTAAAACTTCCCTCTTTACTGTATAGAACAAGGCCGAGGGGTGATCTCATCAAATCTTCAAGATTCTCAAAGGTTACGACCGAATACAAATCAGTGACATCGCCCAGAAATCAGATAATACCAGGACAAGAGGAAACACAGAAAAATTAAATCAAAGATACAGCAGACTTGATGTGAGAAAAAACGTCCTTGGCAACAGAATTGTTAACACCTGCAACAGTCTACCCCAGTCTGCCATTGATGTGGAAAGTATCAACCAGTTCAAGAATAAAATAGACAGACACTTAGCCAGCCAGATGTACCACTACCATTGCTGATTCTCTAAACCCATGTCCAGTGGGAATTATTACAACGTAAGACACAACACAACAAAAAGATCTGGATCATATAGGATACCTTCTTCCAGAACTAATACTTATTATAGCAAAATGGAAAGGTTACTGAGTTGGACAATGATATTAAATGGATAATGTATGGATTTGTAACAGACTGACAATATTGAAATTGGAGGAGTCTTCCCAATATCTCATGAAGCTTTTTTTGAAAAAATTTATCGCAGTTGATAACTACATGTACATAATTCGTGCACATAGCCCTAGGCAAGGTGTGTCCAATTCAAGCCATTCAAAACATAGTATCTTATATAACATGTAAGTCTCAGATATAACTCCAGTGCATTTTATTACCAATTCAGTTGTCAAGGTGATAACTTGACTCTCCAAATTGAAATTGATACTTTGCCAACTTGGCCCTTGAAAAAATTTTCATTGATAATATATTCTTTCAGTGAATTTGTATCTTTTACGTGATTTCCTAGAATATATTTTGCAATGTGTAAAAGAATTTAAGTCCAGGAGTGACTCAATACATTGTGGCTGCTTCGTTCCACTCAGGCATTGTTTCATAAAATTTGCACTCCCACTGCGCATTCATGCAGATTTGGAACCGACACCTTCAATGGATATATTTAGCACACAATGCACAGAGTACAGGGTTAAATCCTTTAATAAATATACATTTACTCTCCTTTGGATGAAAGATCCAAGCAAAAATGTAAGTTTCAGAGCTTTTGAGTGAACCAAGGAGACTGGGGAACATAATAGATTTAAGATGTCATACTTTGCAGGCAGCAAAGTTTAGAAATACTAATTTATCCAATATCTGCCAAAGACTTTAGGTATAACATCATAATCAATAGGTGGCTGCTGAATACTAGACTTGTCTATTGATTTTCCCTTTCATCCTGTAAATGTATAAGCTCTAACATAGATACATTTTAGGTCAGTGAATTTACATAAAACAGTTTTCTTTTGAAGTATTTTCATAACAAGATTTCCTTTCAGATAGATGAGGCAGTAATACATTATTGCACCTTCTGTTTGCACTCAAGTCCATTGAAAACAATATTGCCCTAAGTTTAATGATGCACAAGTACTACTTTTTATGTATATCACTATACGAATTTCAAGTCCGTATACCTCAAACCTCTCAAGTTATCACTTTCATAGCTGCATAATTGATTGCCTTGAAAACATATTTATTGCTCTAATGAATTCATCAGACTCACAGTTTTCTGAATATACTATAACTTATTTTTCTTTGAATAAAATGCTATGTTACTTGTACCCACATTCATTCCCGGCAAAATTACAAGTTTATCTGGAGATTTTTTATGAGATGTTCATGCAATAATTGCATGGCAACGAACAGATCAACTCTAACCTTAAATGACTTTGCAGATCACATAGATCAAATACCTTAGCCCTCTATTTTCACAATCTGCAATATTTCAATGTATGAACTGCAAAAACCAAAATGGTAGAAATCATTTCACATTCATAATGTGCCACTTTTTCAAGATGTGTTTTGTATATTTCTCATGGTTTCGAGGTTTTAACATTTTACATATCCTTCTTTGAATGTACAAACTCCTCAACATATCTCTGAGCCTTTGAGTGTCTCCAACATGTTCAATTCCTAATTTATTCCACCTTTTTGCTCCCTCATGTTAGCATGCAATCATTCTGTCATTATGGGACATGGAAAAGCTCCATCACAAAAATAACAAAACATTTCATTCTCATTTCACTCTCCTTTATTTTACAGATGTGTATACACAGAATAGGAATAGTCCAATAGTTAGTCCAATTGTCTCCAACTCTAGAACTGGATCATTTGGCCCTGGAAAGTAAAACAACAATGTTAAGCATACGTTTTTATACACCATAGACCACAGAACACAAATGGAGAAGGTTAAAGGGTTTTCAAATGCTAAGAGCTGAAGAGTTAGCATTTGAAATCACTGCCGAATTGCTGAATATAATAAAATTGAGACAAATGAGAGGCCTGGGTAAAAATGGTGCAGCATCATGATCAGTGATCTACAACTACATCAATAATCTGCAAAAGGCTAATAAGCCCATTTAAAGCAGATCTCCAAAGGGTTTTGTAAAGTAGGGAGGAGGGATTGGGGTATCAGGTTTCAATTCCATGGAGATAAGCCTGAGGCCCCCACTTCAGTTTAGGAAATGTTTGCTCTTAGCATTGTCCATCCATTCAATAGTGAGAGTGGAAATGAACTTTCAGATGGGATTTGGTAGTTTTATTAAGATAATAGTTACAAATTTTGAGTATAATATACTTTATTCCAAACACTATCATCTGACTAGAATTTAAGTATAACTATTAAAAAGCCAAGAAACATTCATTCAAGTTAATCTAGAATAATTGTTAAAATAAAGTAATTCTGTACATACCTTCTTTTTCTTGTCTCCTCCCAATTCAAAATGTTTAGTTCTCTTGATGGGGAGCTGTTTCCTATATTTGCATTCTGTGCATTCCATTTTCAACACAATTTTCCTTGTTGTTTTGGCCTGGAAGAGAGTTAAAAATGAATAATTTGGAGCAACTTAATTTGCCGACTTGGACAAAAAGGGAAAATTAACTAAGATTGAATTTGGCAAATTTAGTAGATTATGATCAACCAAACAGCATCCACCCTTTCTTATCCCAGACAGAATTGACATATTGCAGTAATAATCTAAAATTTTGCACTTTTAAAATATATAAAGAGACGCAGATAACTGAATGTGCATTTATACTGGACATAATATTTCTAGGGGATCTCTCTGAAAAATTGACAAAGACATGGATTGGCAATTTTTGCAACTGCCAAATCAAGTTGACTTACAGCATAAATATTCATAATATGACAGAATATTGATGTTGACTAAAGGATCACATTTATGCATCTGTGCGTTCTGTGCGTTCAATAGTTCTTTATTTTGTGTTCTCTATTAATCAAATTGATGGTTACAAGCCTTACCTTCTTCCTGAATATAGGTTTTGTTTGACCTCCATATCCTTTCTGTTTTCTGTCGTAACGCCTCTTTCCTATAAAAGCAAATGTATATTACTGGAATAGATTCAAATGGAATCTTAGCACAATAGGGCAAAGGGGTGTAATATCGAAGTATGGGGTAATGTTGACATAATGGACGGGGTAACTTTGACACTTACTTATTAGAAATTATTGTAATTTAAACAAAAGTTATTTCTTCCGGTGCACATTGCATTGACCAATCAATGGATCGTAATCAACGGATCCGAGCTTAATCTGGCAGATAATCGCTGATTGAAATTTTCCACGCCAACTCTAGCTGAAATTGATTCTATTCTATGATAAATACAGCATATGTTTGATAAAAGATAATATCAGATGGAAGTAGAGTCCATTTCACTGTCAGTAGAACCCCAAAAATAAGAAATCGGGAGACCATTGTGAAATAATATATGGAAAAGTATACTCATATTGTACATGAATGACATTTGTATATTTCAGATTTTTTAGTTTTTTGTGCAATAAGCCTGTGCCCTCTTGTAATTTGAAGAATTCCAGCCAGGTTATCTTATTGAAAATAACATGGCAGAGACGCATCCAAGTATAAGAGGCCAAACACTTTATAAGCCAAACTAGAAGCAATCCAAGATATACAAATGTCATTCATGTACAATAGGAATATATTTTTCCATATATTATTGCATAATGATATTTTGATTTCTTATTTTTTAGGTTTTACTGGCGCAATTAAACAGTGAAATAGACTCTAGAGAACAAAAGTAAGCCGCTGATCGACTTAATTAGTGTTTCAAAGGTCACTATTGTTCAGCTGTCCATTTCTCCGTTTGAGAGCAATAAGTTTCAAAATCTAACATGGCTCTCGAAGTGAGTAAGTTTAAGGATAATTTTCCATTGACTTTTGGTAGTGTGTCAGTCAATCCTAATTGGAGAAGCTCTATTATTTGTTATTATTTATTTCAATGTGGAGTCATGGACACCTAGACAGTGAAATAACAAAAACACAAACCTTGTGATACAAGCGAGGCCTTGCCAGTCTTGTACTGGGACACTCTGTGGAGAGAATGCTTCTTGCACTTCTGTCCCTTACAGAAGGTTTTACGCTGCTTCGGTATGTTTACCTGGAGTGACAAAAGGTGGATTTCAGGCAACAAATAAACTTGAGTTTTTTCAACAATTCAATGTTTCATCAATGCTAAGAGTTATGTCATTGGTGCAATAGAAATCATATAAAACTGGAGACAATTTTTAGAAAAATATATTTTTGTGGTCTAAAATGTGAATATTATTTGTTTTTCTCTAAGAATGCAGGGAGATATCTCATGTACGTTGCAATATAAATAAAGATGGAACATACAAATATTGGAATATGGACAAAAAACTGAAATAATGCTGTAGATAAAGGCGATGTTGATGGATTTTCAAAGGTATTCAAAATTCTCACCATTTTTAAAAGCAATATGGCCGAAAGGAAGTAAAATAAGTATTACGGACTGAATTCATATTTCTCATCTTTTTATCCAGTTATCTGCAGATTTAAATTATTTCAAGTAAAAAATTTATTAATTTTTAATTAATATATATAATTATAGATTTTCCTGGTTCTTAGACAGTGTCTTCATATTTCTGATGGGCTACGTTAGGCCCGGACAGACAAGTGCCCGTTTTTGAAAAAAATAATATTCACGCTTTGTCGAATATTGCGAAAATACAAACTCAGATAAAGCTTTTTCGTATAGATAGGTGTCGACAATGAGTGCAAACAGAGAATCTAACAGCACAACTACGGATAATAACGATGCCAAGGGAGAAAAACGAGCACTGGAGAATGAGGTGATGCTTATTGTTGTTGTCATTTTTATTGTCTACTCTAGGCCTATCAGTATACATAAAGATTAGTGCAATACAACAATTACTTCAGACCTGAATACAGGCCGTCCAACTGTCCCACAATTTGCGTATTTATCACGCATTAGCTGCAAATTTTGAAATCACGCCAGTTTTTTTTGCGTGACAGATAGCCTAATGTCACGCAAATACGCATAATCTGATTATTGTCAAGAAAAAATATTCCTTTAGAAAAGCTTCAAAAAAAGTGATCACCGATACAGCAAAAAACCGAATGCCAAAAACGAAAGCATTTTGGTCGGAATCATCACACGGATACCGTACATGTAAACGAAGTCCGTTACTTGGTTGAAAATCAGGATATTAACATCCCTCTAAAGATTCCACATATACCATGTATTAGTTACTGACTTTTTATTAAAATCTTACACCGATTTCGAGATATAAAGAGTGCAAAAACTGAAATCAACGTCTTTGAACTTACTTTAAATTGACCAATTTTTTTTAAAAGCTCGTCCTCCTTCACAACCATGTCAATGTTAGCTACTTGTTACTTTCATGTCACAATACCCAATGTAAGGAAGCTCCGTACCACCACATCTTTGATGTGGACAAGGGCTTAGCTATTAAAAATGTATTTAGAATAACCTGCCTCTGACAAATTCAAAAGCAGAGAGTAGATCAGCATTACTTCTTTAAAATTGATTTTCAATCTTCAATATCCTGTTTTTTACTTTTAGGTCCAATCTGCCAATGAATGGGAAAAAGCTGATCTTGGAGATGAGGAACGAAAGAATAAATTCTTAAGATTAATGGGTGGAGCAAAGGTAAAATTATCATTTAAAGGTATACTTTAATCACTCAAATAAAACCCATGGGCAATTGTGAATATTTTCAAATTCATCATTTGACTTTCATGTAATCAGGTCCGTCTTGATCCATTTCCTAAAGACCTAAAGAATGCTATAAAGTCATTCTGTCAAATGAAATAGTTCAAATTGATAAATTGCACTCTGAGTTCTTGTTTATACTTAAGGATCAAGATACATCATTTTAAATGATTTCATGAAGTCTTGGATTGGATACACTGCTCTTCACTAACTCACTGAGGTGGTACTTAGGCTACCAAATTGCATATGTACTTCAATCGGTGAGGTCAACAATTGCAAGTGCTGTCCCATTTTCCAAATGTCACTACATTACTTTGACAAACCTGATTATTTTAAGTGACTAGTAAAATCTTGTCCAATGTTGTATTTCCTCTCAGAGCTTATTGTTTTAATTAAATTACCTGATGAATAACTGAATGATTTCCAGAAAGAGCATCATGGGAAATTTGTGATTGGAGAAAACAAAACACACCATGGAAAAACTGGTGAGTACTTAATTGAGTACATTACTTTCCCATTTTTAGTCTGCTGTACTAAGATCATATTGTTAAACTGTTAGACTTAGGGCAATGAATCTAGTGAGTAAAGCTTTTCAAAATTGAAAAGATACATGAAATGGGATCAAAAACTGAATGAAAAAAGGCTTTAGAACAAAAATCATCATGTACATGTCACTGGGGGGGGGGGGGGGGCTGGGGGTGGGCTCAAAAAAATTTGGGCCAAAAAAGGCCTTAAGGCCCTTAAAAGTGGGCCTTTCTGGCCATAATTGGGCCTTGTAAGGCCTTATTTTTTAATTTCAGGCTAAATTTTGGAGAAAATGGGTCTCAAAATTTCAAAATTTTTTAAGCGTTTTTTCTCTGACCAGAAATTTGCCCCCCCCCCCTTGTTGATTCCCAGATCCGAACATGTCCTGTTCAAGTCCCACCAGTGTAGAATTTGGGTTTTTGTGTAAACTGGATTCATATTTGAATATGTTATAAGTTATAAAATGTGAATCAGCAAAATAAAAACTGCTTTAGTTGTGATTGGTAATTACCTTTGAACTACGAACCAAATACAAAACAAAAAAGTCCAAGTCGTTAAAACATTGTGTTTGTGTCTGATAATAAGTATGAATTTATCTCTAACATCGCTCTGTGTTTATTTTCAGAGGAGGAGGTTGAGAAAACAAAGCATGATCTGGAAGAACAATTTACTCAAAGCTTAGAGCACAAACTCAGTGGAGCAGCACGTAAACATGTCGGCATTGGCTTCAATCCAGAAGCCGACACCCATAAAGACAGTGAACCAATCAAAGACAAAACAGAGGAAAAAACAGAGAAGTCTGAAGAGACTGATAAAGACTCAGAAGTTGAAGTTAAGGATAATTTACAAGAGGAGATTAAGAAAGATGACAATGCTGAACCTCCTAAGAAAAAAGCAATGATGATGAATTTTGTAAAAGCTAGCTCAGATTCATAATACAATGTTGATGCTAGCTCAAAGTTATTGTAGTATAATGTACTTTATGCAGCTCTGATGGTATACATTGCTTATTGCACAGGTGGTTCTTTGGAATTATTTTGCATAATTAAGGTTCTGGGTTCTTGACAGGTGCCATATTGCCAAACAAAGTCATATCTCATGAAAGTAAATGCCTGAATCATGAAGATAAAAAGATAAGAATTAAATTGGTTGACATGTTATTCCAGTGTCAAAGAAAAGCGGAAGTCTATTTCTTTTGATTCACTTTTTTATTGCACTTTGAAAGTTTTGAAAGTGCTATATACAGGGTGTCCAAAAAAAACAGGACCGTAAGAAAGTTGAATAACTCGGTCAATTTTGCATATTTTGCCTTGAAATTTGAGAATTATTTAGTTCATTCAATGTGAATTTTGTTCTGAAAGTTTGATGATAATCTGTTTATTGTGTCAAAAACTACAGTCTTTACAAAATATGCTCAAAGTGGGCACTTCTCTCTATACACAAACGAATCCTGCGAACAAAGTTGTTAATGACCCTTACCTATACACATTAATGTGAATGGTAAATATTGGGGTAGGTATTGCCCTCTTAAGATTGTTAAGGGCCTGTCAGTATACACATTGGCTTTGAGAAATCCTCAAAGATGAAAACTTGGGGGATTTAGATCAGGTGAATGAGCTGCCCATATGGTTTGCGTTCTGCAACTGATGAGCTGACCACCAAAGCATTGCCTAAACCCTTTCAGCATATCATTTGCAGTGTTGGGGTGGTATGGGCTTGTTGAAACCACTGCTTAATTATCTTCTTAGATGTCCCTTCTGGTGCTTAGTGACCTCCAAAACTTGGTGAGAACTTACTGGTCCTTGTTCATGGTGATAGCAAGTCCCCAGTCACCTTCGAACCAAAAGGGACTGATGATTCCATGTTTCCTCATTACCACCCAGGGAGTGCATTGTTCAGAATGCAATGGATGATGTAACACTTCATCAGGAGGATGTAAGCCCCAGTAGCAATTGTTCTTGGAACAAACTTGTCCATTCAGAAAGACATGTGTGTAGGAGGATCATCAACAGCTTTGTTTGCCGGATTGAATTGTGCATAGAGATGAGATTTGCGCATGTTTTTTAAGGAGCTGTAGTTTTTGACTCAATTGGTAGATTATTATCAAACTTTCACAACAAAATTCACATTGAATGGACTAAATAATTCTGAAATTTCAAAATATGCAAAATTGACCGAGTTAGTTTAGTTGCTTGTAGATCATTGTGTTGTCTTGAAATTAAATGGGAAGTCTCAGTTTCATATCATTTTCAGTGTCGAAGAAAAGCGGAAGTCTATATCTTTTGATTCACTTTTTTATCGCACTTTGAACGTTTTGAAAGTGCTATATAGTTGTTGTCTGGTTCTGATGGGCCTGCTTGCTTGAGGCATCCAAACAGTTAGCCACTTTCTACCATTAGCAACAATTGTAGCTTGGTAATGCAAAAATACAATTCTCTAATATTGGAATCTATTTCTCAATTATATTGTAGAGAAAATTCCTGTAGATTCCGTTGAAATTGAGAAAAAATTCCAAAGTTATAGGGTTGCATTTCTTTGAATCACCCTATGTTTAATTCACAGTTTAGTTGCTTGTAGATTATTTGCCATTGTGTTGTCTTGAAATTAAATGGGAAGTCTCAGTTTCATATCATTTTCAGTTTGCTTTATTAGGCTAATATATTACTGTATTTGTATACTTGGCATTATGTGAGGAATAACCCATGTTATGTTATACATAAATGTAAAATGTAAATATCAATAAAATTGAAAAACACATTTATCATTTAAACCTTAAATCCTCATTTTTATGTGCATGTATTTTCCCTTGTTATATATCATAACAAACTGTTCAGATAGAAATTAATACTAGTAAACAAAAAACATTTGTTAATTTTAACTTGCCATATATATTCTCTAAAATACAAGAAATTGGCTATTTAAAGCATACACGAGTCATTATGGTTTTATTAAGACCAACTAAACTTAGTCTATAAGCATCAAATTGAAGAAATATCATCTTCACCTTAATAACTTTTGACCCCTTGAATTCACATGCTAATATTTCTGACTTATAACAATGTTACTTTGTAATGCGTCAACCCATATTTCTCTAAAACCAATCAGAATAGTGGAAATATTCATTTTGCATAATGTTTCATCATTAGCAGTTGCATTAATAAATTATTCTTTTATGGCCATCAATAGAGTTTATATTTAATCAACTGATGTTTAAAACACTTTGATGTTGAATATTTGTGAATATCCAAGCAATGGCAGAATTAATTGACAATATCGTTAACATTTGTTTTATCATACTCTATGTCTCTGATTCTTGGATTGTGAATCTCAAAAGCTGATAAGAATAATTTTATCAGCAATGAGTTTAAGAAACCGCGAGGAGTTTAAACAGAGTATGAGTTAAACCCGTGAAGTGGAATACTATATCTAGTACAGTATTTCTGTAAATGGAACATTTCAAAGGCCTGTTTCCATTAACTCAACAATATAAAATAAAACACATCTCCAAAATGAAACACAATTTTGAGGTAACAAAGGCATTCCACTTCCACTGGGTTTACTGTACAAAGACGAACATTAACATATTAACATGTAGTTTAGTTCAATGCAGGTTATGAATAGAAATAGAAATAAACAATCCATCATAAACATACATGTACGTGTAATTATATGAAATTAACATCTAAATATAAACATGGATTCCTGATAAATATTTAAACAAATTTTTCCTTTTTCCAAACACTAAATATGTCTTATATGGCAAAAATACATCCAGGAAAAAATTCTTTCATTTGCACAAAGAAACTAAGTTTATTGACCATAATGGTTCTAGGTAGCCATGTTTACACAAAAACTCTTACATTTATTTTGAAAAAAACAATAAATTAACCCTCCCTCTGTTTGAAAAAATTGCCACCTGCTATAATATAACATCGTGAATCTAACAAATATAATACAGTTTCTTTTCTCCATAAAAGAGGGCAGGATCTACTGAAAATATCAGTTGCTGTAGTTACTCTTTATACAAGATAAATAATTTTAACCATTCACTTGTGGACTTCATTACAATACAATGATCAAATACATGTATTTGTGAATTACAAATTGGTTTTGAGATCATGAAGAATTATTACAAATTATGCATAGGTTGAATGGTTCAGAATGAACAGTCGGTTATCCTATACTACTTATAACGCCAGTGAGAAAGTACGCCAATTGGAAAATTGTCATTTGATTTGATGTGAAAAAATCAGTCCACCCTAGCAAGGGTTGAACCCATATCCCTCTCTTTCTGGATGATTTTACAGAGCTACATGATCGGGCTGACTGACTTTCCATTTCTTTGTCTTCATTAATCATTCAGTAGTGTATACTGAATAGTATATAAACCTTTTATATCATGGAGTGTGTATTAAATATTTAAAACTACCTTACTGGTTGCTGCTACTATGACTACAATGCTATCTACAGCACAAGGTATTCCACAAACTTCTGTTACCCAAAGAACACCCTGTACCCTAGTATGGCTGCATATATACATGAATTGGACAAAATGTGATAAATATTTAGCACCTTGTGGACGGATTGTACTCTTGGAATGTTTGTTTTAATTAAACCTTATAAAATATCAGCCATATAATCATCTTGCATAAAACAAAACTGGACGGATCATTTTGAACAGAAATCAGATAAATAATACAGGGTAACCCAAATTAAAATGCTACCCTCTCTATATTTATTTATATTTAACTTTTTAAGAATGGAATCTTCTTGATTGGTATTGCCAAAATAGAGTCCAAAATAGGGTACAGTACAATTTAGGGTATTAGTGATTAAATTAATTTTGCTGATTGGCTGAATATCTGGGGCAAGATAAATGAAAAATGGGGCAAGTTTTGAAAAGTATAAAGCTAAAAGCTGCACGCTGTTGAAAAATTAAAAACTTAACTTGAACTTAAAAGGATGAAATACTGAGTTTAAACAAAGTTTTGCAGTTTAAGATTTTTAGATTGAAGTAACAAATTGGTAAATACAATTTTATATTTATATCCTACACATTCTTATTGATGGGTTGCATTTTGGGGTCACTCTGTACATGTACTATGACAAATTGGACGGATGTCATTGATATAAATATAATTTTATGAATGATCATACATGGATGATGGCACATGTCATATGATAATAGTCTTGCATCAGTCCCCACTCAAATTCCCCTAAGCGCAATATCAAGTAGAACACATCCATTGGTGGAATACTTTTCAAAGTCCCTTGAACTGTTGACTTAATCTTACACAGATCTCTGTACATTGCTTTTACTTCCACAAGTTTTACTGTTTACTGTGTTAGTAAGCTATATTTCTGAAATCAGTGAATATGGGGGGATAAGGTGAAGTGGTCAGCTGTAAAGGACTTTTTGCAAGCCTTTATTTCAAGTTCATTTCTGATAAGTCACCACTGTGATCAAATCAAAAAGAATTGTTACTAGGTGTACACAGCATTTACTCATTACTAAATCTCCAATGTCAGGGACATCAAAAATGCCTTGAAATCTTGATGAATAGGAACTTAAGGAACTTCTGCTAGTAGGGGAATGTAAAACTGATCAGTACAGTTAGTCCAAACAGTACAGCTAGTCCCAAACAGTACAGCTAGTCCCAAACAGTGCAGCTAGTCCATTCAAGCATGCACCGTCACACAACGATGGTGTTGTCCAAATGGCGATTCCAATTCCTAAGTTCATTATACATTTTGCTATACTTTCTTTTCAGTTTTTTTAATTTTTGGTGTATTGTTATTATTTAACATAGGTTTTATAGGGGTTTGTGAAGTCCTATTTCCCGACGAAGACTTTCCTGAAGTAACTGGGCTCCTATTTGTTACAGAACTCTGTCTGTTTGAACTGGGGCTCTTAGAAGATGTGGGGGTTTTGGATGACGGAGTCGTAGTTTTCATTCCTGACTTTGGTGTTCGCTGAACTGGCAATGTGCTATTTGGTGTTGGAATGCTCGGAGATCTTGTTGTTTTACCAAGACTTACCTAGAAAATGAAAGCAGTTTTGTTTTAGACATAGCATTCTGAATGTTGATTTTACATAATTTTAGAGATGGTGTCACCCGTATTTTAATACCATTGTGGGAAAGTTATTTCATTATAGTATAAGTAACTCACTCTCACCACATGTAACAAATTTCGATAATGATGATTTGCCGTTAACTTGAATTTTTCAAAAAATCAACTTTCTTCACAAATGAAATCATCATTTACCCCCTCCCCTCCATGACAAATGATCAGCTGGACACCATCCCTGTATTAGCTGTGTTAGTGCCATACTGAATGGTCAGTTTGAAAATTTCAAAAAGTAAAACTCAACGTACAGTACAGTAAAGGAAATACACTAGGGGTGTCATACTGTCATGGTTTTAAGAAATGCCCAGTCCCCTATAATTGGGATGTCATTTGTATCCACAAGGTAGCCATACACCAAGAATGAAATATTTTCATGACATGAACATGTTAATTCTTTTCCAGAGACCCTAACCAGGCAAATGAATTTTATCATGATGTAACAATCATATGACCATTTTCTGACAAAATGGTGCAATACTCGGAGATCATCAGACAAAACGTCCGATAACAAGTGGACAGTAGATAAGTTCGAACAAAAGGAACAAAGTCAAACAATGTTCCATTGGTGTACAGCTAGCTTTATATACACATTATAGAGACTAGGCCTTTAATGTACCCCTAATGCATCTTGCAAGCATATTGGGATACCCCCCCCCCTCCTTTTACAAACTGGTTTTATTCATTATGGCACCAATTTCATAAATTGTATAAATGTAAATGCACTGTACAAAACAACAACATCAAAAGCAAAATGAGTCCAATGTGTTTTGCTGTTAATAGCCATTGAAAAACCAGAAGATGTAAATAAGGTTCAATAATGTAAAGAAGCAATTAAATAATGTAAAGACTAGCATTATAAAGGCAATAACAAAGTGCATAAGTATTTATTAATATATTTTATACAACTGGTACATGATAGGGAATTACAGTAATTAAACATAAAAAACACAATTATTAAATACAATTTTAAAGAAGATAGTTTATGATCGAAAGAATTTAGAGAAATAAACAGAATTATGAATTAAAAGAAATGCAAACATTTTCTTAACATACTAGTGGTTTAAGAGTTGAAGGTAGGTTGGAGTATTGTCGCCTCAGGTTTACTAAGTTTAAATTTCCTGTCGATGCTCGACGAAAATCTGGTCTCAAACTAGTATACGGCCCTAAAGTGGTCTGAAAGAAAGAATGTGCTGATTTCTAGTCTATTCCAAAGATGTGCACCTTGTTTCAATGTGGATTCATACATGTAACTATGGTTTTAGTCTATTCCATAGTTGTGCACCTTGTTTCAATGTGGGTTCATAGCGATGGTTCTAGTCTATTCCATAGTTGTGCACCTTATAATTTGGGTTAATTTCATAGCTATGGTTCTTCTTGTCTATTCGATAGTCTACACCTCGTCTCAAAATGAGTGCATAACTGTGGGGAATATAGTATGGGTTGAGGTATGGGAAATATAGTATGGGTTCAGGTATGGGGAATATAGTATGGGCTGAGGTATGGGGAATATAGTATGGGTTCAGGTATGGGGAATATAGTATGAGTAGAAGTATGGGGAACATGGTATGGGTCCAGTCCAGGTATGGGTAATTTGCTATTATTGTGACTTATCCAAAGCTAGTACTTGTATCTTGTTAGAGTGTAGTGTTATAACATGTTACTTATAATGCTACATGTATATCGTATTAGCATGTTTAATTATGTAACTATGGCTATTAATGTAGTTGTTTTCCATGCAATACTATTCTGCTAACTGTTAAATTGTAAGCGCAACTCAAACAAAAGGTGCAAATACAAATTATAATCAAACAATCTAATAAATTAATCATTAATCAACACTCAAAACACATCAAACAAATCCACTTATTACTGGATAGTTAAACAAAAATTCATTGCATAATGATAATCAAAAATATAAATTTAATCATGGCTGTATTTCAATTATAGACAAAGATAGATCAAAATGATAAAATGTTTTGATCTTTTTTTATTCAGGAATATATGCATATTTAAATTAGCATCCATGTATTGTCAATCTGGAACAAAGCCTGAAATCTTAAATTTACCTTAGGTTTATTTTTAGTGTCATTTCCTGCGCTTCCCCCACGAGCAGACTCGACACCCGCAGAGTTCGGCTTTTCCGCATCCCCGTCAGCAGCTCCACCAATTATTGCACTTCCGTCATCGTCCATGTCTTGATTTAACCTGAACTGTTTCATCATTTCTAATACATTTGTCCTACCCTGGCCTTCTTGCCCCTGGAATAGAATAGATTAACCATGGATATTTTGAGTTGAACTAAAAATTAGTATTGACTGAGTATTCAACCTTTGAATCATTATTTCAGTAATATTAATTTAATATAAAATGTCTATAAAATGGAAAGTGGGAATAAAGCGTGAACTCTTCATATTATGAAAAGAGCAATATTAGAAATGCTATAAATAACACATGGAGTTGGAAATGGGTTCATACTGTACTATCTTGTGGTGCACCCTTTTATATGCGACTTACTGAGATCCATGAGTGGTCGACCACCTCACTTGCAGTAAGCCTATGGGCAGGGTCAACCTTCAGCATGCCACAGATGCAGTCTTTAGCTACAAGAACAACATTCACATTGTAGCACTACAACATATTTAAAGTATGGGTCGGAGTACATGTAACTGAAGAACAATTTATACAATACCTATTTATATCAAGGTTGTGACAATTCACTCACAAAGACTTTACACAAACAATGACAATTCAATTGAAGTCTCTCGTATAACAATGTTGATGGGATTCCTTGTGATCTATGGTGGAAATGGCCACTTATGTGTTAAGTGTAACATACAACAATACATCAGCCTCATGCGATCGTGCATTTCACACATACCTCCTTTACTAATAGATGCCCATAAAGGTGATGAGAAATCCATATCTCCTTTCTTAATGAGTTCATACAGAGAATCCTCATCTTTTGACTTGAAAGGGGGACTCCCAACCAATCTACAAACATAAAGTATTTGTTGAGATTTAAACACACTTTATCTTAAATCAAGTATAAAGTTAAATTGTATCTAAAATGACAATTTGCTAAAAATATCAACAAGTTCACTAAACTGTACATATCATAAATGAAAGGCAGTAAGGATTCACGTGTAATATGCGAGAAGAGCATATTACATTACAAATCAATATATAGGATGTCCACTGTGTCAGCTCAGTAGGCAAACTTATACATATACAGTATCAGTGATTCAGCGATCTCCCCAGCATTACAGCAAGTGGGCCCAGCACCCACCTGAGATTTTTAAAAAAAGGCTTGCATCCACCTAAAAATATGTTTTCACCCACTTGAAAATGAGAAAAACCATGAAAATGGGCATATATTGACCAATTTTGGTTTGGATTGTGCAAATAAGAATTTGGCACACACTTGACAAAAATCCTAGGTAGAATGCTAAGTATATACTTATCATTGATAAGTCATTGAGTATATTACTTATCACCAAAGGGAAAATACTTACAACATAAAAGCGATGACTCCCATGGCCCATACATCACATTGTTGACTGTAGGTTTTGTTGTCTATAATCTCAGGAGCTACAAAGCAACATGTCTAAGATAACCAAAAGAAACTTGGACTGGATGTGCTTCACGTAACATTAGTGTTCTTGTAAAGCTGTTAAAGCTGCTTAATGACAATAACAGACAATGGAACACTCATAAGCCTATTGGTGAAAATTAAGATATTCTCCTGATATATTGTAATAATGAAGATGAATGTAAAGAGAGACCTGGTAGAAATCAATGAATGTCAAAGATTTCACATAGCTCAACTAAAGATTTTAATGTCATAACATTAAACTATTTTACAACATGTAACTCAATGCTTCAAAATACAATGTAGTTTATAAATACTTTAAAGTCTGAAACATGTTGTTATAACTTACACATATACATAGGGGTGCCACAAAAAGCCTGCATCATATTCTCATGTCCTGGACCATCTTTTACAACAGATAGGCCAAAATCTGTCACCTGAAGTATAAATGATACAGGTCGACATGTGCATAATCCGAAAAAAATAATATAACAAGGGGAAAACATTTAATATTTTTGTTTTTCATTATTTTTCATATAGGGAATGTATCCATCAAATAATAATCTTGCCGTAATATGGAATGTGTATATCAAACCAAACAATTCATCTTAATATGGAATTAATCAAACAATCAAGCAACCCACTTAATGTGGAATGTATCCACTGAATAAAGCAACCCACCACTATCCACTAAACCAAGCAATCCACCTTAATGCGGAATTACTATTCACCAAACTGAACAATATGGAATGTATTCACCAAACCAAGCAACCCACCTTAATATGGAATGTAGCAACCAAACCAAACAATCCACCTTAATATGGAATGTATCCAACAGACCAAACAAACTACCCTAATATGGAATGTATCAATCAAACCAAGCAACCCACCTTAATATGGAATGTATCAAACAACCCAAACAATCCACCTTAATATGGAATGTATCCAACAAACCAAACAAGCCACCTTAATATGGAATGTATCAAACAACCAAACAACCAACCTTGATATGGAATGTATACACTAAACCAAGCAACCCAACTTATATGGAATGTATCAAACAAACCAAACAATCCACCTTAATATGGAATGTATCCAACAAACCAAACAATCCACCTTAATATGGAATGTATCAAACAACCAAACAACCCACCTTAATATGGAATGTATCCAGCAAACCAAGCAACCCACCTTAATATGGAATGTGACCACCAAACCAAGCAACCCACCTTAATATGGAATGTGTCTGCAGGATCTTCAGGATTCCTACCAACCAGTATATTCTCTAGCTTCAGATCTCGGTGAACTATGTCTGAAATGTTAAATTATGAAATTATAATCCTTTGATGTAAGTCAGGTCAGGTGTTGAATAAAACATTAAAAACATTAAAAATACATTATAAGCTGCGTTTAATTTGTTGGCTTCTGCATACCTTTGAACCCACTGTTTTCCTATTACACAACTGTTACCTTTAATAATCATTTTTTCATAAACCAGCTAAATTAACTTTACAGAAATGAGTTCCGCTTTGTTATATCTATATTTTCTTAATATAGACCTATGTAATTCTAAACTTCTGACTTCTTGACTTGGGGTTAGCAATATGTCTTCAAAATTGAGGTTACCCTTGCAAGTACAACAAATATACTTCAAAGTTAATCTTAGTTTATCTGCAAGCTAGATTAAAAACTATACATACAAACTTTTTGGAATGATCCACCTGTATAGATCTACATCTAATATATACATGCAGTGATGTATGTTTCATTATAGACTAGCTGCGAGTAGAAATAATCTTAATTTACGTCATTTAATAACTCCTAGTTCGGGGAGATTCCCCATAGACCCCATGTTATAAAATCACAAAAAGTGAAATATCTTTTCTTGTATTGGACAGATAATATTTTAATTTGCTTAACTATTAGATACATAAGGGTGATATGAAAATTGAACCACTAAAACACGTCAGATGAATATTTAAGTTTTTTCTGTTTTAGTTGTCTTTATTTAACAATTTCATATACAATTTTACAATATTTAAGTTAACTTTCTACTATACCCGCAGTGCTATCTGACCAGAATGAGCCACCTATTGGTGGAACTGGTAACAACCTACTCCCAATTCAAACTATTAAACTACATCGCACTCCTGATCTGCCAACCCCAGGCTGCAATCTATACAAGAGCCAGGGAAGATATTAACTTCTAAAAGATAGCACTGTATGTTTGATGGATTGGGAATGGAGGTGAAAATCCACTTTGTTTTTTGATGTCCATTATTTTTTCTATTAACATTAAATCAACAGTGATTTTGCTTTGATGGATTTTTTTTGTTGGAATCATTGCAGATATTCAATTATTGTATAAGTATTAAAGAATTAAAATAAATAGCAGATCAGTTTCAAAGTTGAACCATGAAAAGATAGAACCTCTAGATGTTCAATGTTCAATCATGTTTAGTCTTTACATTCAATATTTCCTCCTCATAGCAGTATATCACTTACCATTTTTATGGAGATAAGAAATTGCACTTGCAAGTTTTTTCATAACAGTTTTTACATCATCCTCCGGAAGTTGACCCTTAACCTTTAATATGTCAGCCAGCTCTCCCCTCTCACATAGCTCCATTACTAGATACATTTTCTGAAATGGACATTTACATTATAAATAGCATAACATGCAGATGTGAACCTTCTTTGTCATGCAAGAGCAGAATGGGGAAGCCATGATCTAGAAATAGGTGAGACAAATGTTAAAAGGTGAGGCCAATATAGATAGGTGAGGCAAATATAAATAGGTGAGGCAAATTTAGATAGGTGAGGCAAATGTTAATAGTTGAGGCAAATGTTAATAGGTGAGGCAAATGTAAAAAGTTGAGGCAAATGTTAATAGTTGAGGCAAATGTAAATAGATGAGGCAAATATAAATAGGTGAGGCAAATTTAGATAGGTGAGGCCAATATAGATAGGTGAGGCAAATATAAATAGGTGAGGCAAATTTAGATAGGTGAGGCAAATGTTAATAGTTGAGGCAAATGTTAATAGGTGAGGCAAATGTAAAAAGTTGAGGCAAATGTTAATAGGTGAGGCAAATGTAAAAAGTTGAGGCAAATGTTAATAGGTGAGGCAAATGTAAATAGATGAGGCAAATGTAAATAGATGAGGCAAATGTAAATAGATGAGGCAAATATAAATAGGTGAGGCAAATTTAGATAGGCGAGGCAAATGTAAATAGTTGAGGCAAATGTAAATAGATGAGGCAAATATAAATAGATGAGGCAAGTGTAAATAGATGAGGTAAATATTTCAGGCAAATGTAAATGTGTGAGGCAAATGTAAACTGATGAGGCAAATGTAAATAGGTGAGGCAAATGTAAATAGGTGAGGCAAATGTTAAAAGGCCCAAATTGAAAAGTAAAGAAAAAACATGCGTCGGCCGGGAATCGAACCCGGATCTAATGCTTGGAAGGCATCAATGCTAACCTTTACACCACCGACGCTTCGTGAAAACATAGCGCGAAACTGAGACTCTCAACAAACAGCCTCACATATGACCTTCTTTCTCGTCATTTTCGATTAATTCTAGCATTGTATGTAATAATAGCATGAGTGATATGCGTTGATTTGCTAGGTAAGGCCGAATATTAAAGAAAATTCGCATGCAAACTGAGCGCTAAATAAGCCGCCATATTGTTGATACCCGGAAGTAACAACGAAAGGTCAAAATTATATCGACGAAAATAGCTATATATGAGCCATTTATTAAGGCTTGAACTATGCAAGCAAGCATATTAATAAAAGGATAACAAAATTAATCCAAAACACAAGATGAAAACACACGTTTTGCAAGTTCGTTTACTCAGACTATTGATGGTAGTAAGATTGTCACCATAGTCTTATAAGTCAGGATGGCCGAGCGGTCTAAGGCGCTGCGTTCAGGTCGCAGTCTACTTCTGTAGGCGTGGGTTCGAATCCCACTTCTGACAAAACATTTTTATTTTATATTTTTCTTCTGACATATTATGTATTATTATCTGTGCATAACATCAGCAGCAAATCAGATCTAACAAGCCATTTTTTGCCAATCATTGTCATATTGACAGAAATGTCACCACCAACCAGATGCTGATTGCTGAACACCAGAACATAGTCCACAAAAAAATTTGAAGACTAAGAATATTTCACCACTTCTGGTGGTGACATAATAATCAAGGAATATTTTCTCAGCTCCTTGTTGCAAAATCTACATGGTACCCATGATGTGAAATGTCACAATATTATAAATTCTCCAGTAGCGGCCCTATCAACCACAACCATGTTGGGCAAAATGAAAGTAATGCCTAATTTTTGGTGTGTTTATTCTGGTTATCAAAATCCATCATCACATTAACTTAAAAGCTCTTTATTAAGCTGTTTAACAAAATACACAAGTATCCAATCAGGCCCGTAGCCAGGATTTGCCAAGGGGGGTTCACTTTTTGAAAAATTCCAGGGGGGGTTCACTTTTGACAATTTTGGTCCGAAAATGGCCAAAACCACTTAAAAAGTGCTCAGAATGATGAAAAACTACATGATTTTGAAAGAATTTTTGGTCAGGGGGGATTCGCTCAAACCCATCGATCCCCCCCTGGCTACGGGCCTGCCAATACTTACTGAGATTCTAGGTACCCTAACCCCAGGAACATACCCTATATCTAGGGAAAGGCATGCATTGCTGTATCTACAGTATTATCTATAGAGTTTTGAAATTAATATTAAAAGAAATCCATTTTTAAAATTTGGTTTAACACCCCTCAGGAAATATGTGTGACCTGCTCTGTCCCTGTGGTCTCTTGGAAGATACACATATTTCCCCCAGGATAAACTCTGCATCCAAAACCTCCTAGTACATAACCCTTATATATATGGAATATAAAGGTTGTTAGATGACATATTTTTGAATGATTGTGTGACTGGACTCCTGTTGACCATAGATTGACAATCAATCTAATCCGAACACCCATGGGACCAGCCAAAAGCGTTCAAATTGGCAGGTGTTCAAATTTCGAGGATTTTGTTGGTCGGGGGGGGGGGGGGATTTTCATTGTTCAGTGCACTATATTGAACACTTAATACTAAGTCAGAAAACAATACATGTTGTTGATGAGTAATTCTACAATAGGCCTATAGCCTATATGCTATGTTTTATTTATATTTTGAACAATTTCATCATTTTATTAAAAATAACTCTTATATTTTGGCAAAAACTTTGTAATACACTGTAAAAGTATATGATAGTCTCGTACAAAATCTTATGCTTATCAAATGGCTTATCCCATATTATGGTTTTATAGCACTGCTTTACTTTTGCTTGAAAAAGTCCTTCATTGTTGTTTGTTTCTTGGCACTTTTAGCATTAGCAATATTTGAGTAGATATCCTCTTCAAGTAAAAATAATTTTTCATGAGTGTTCATTCGAGATGATGTATAATCCTTTAAAATATCAAGGGCATTCAGGATGTCAGATGTATGCGAATATTACGAAGTTGAATTTTTTTTTCTCGTGATATAATCGTGTCTGCAAATGGCGTCTGTGTTGTCTTTGTGATTATAAAACATTTACTGATTGAATCTTAGCTATCATAACAGACCCATGGGATATAAAACAGTTAAGACCTGTTCATAATCCAAATCAAAAACATCCAGTTAATTTACAATAAGGATAAACCAATTATCTCCCAGACTCTCACCTTTCTCTTAATCCAAATCTAAAACATCCAGGTAATTTCCAATAATGATAAATCAATTATCTTCTTGATTCACACCTTTCTCTTAATCCAAAAATAAAACATTCAGTTCTTTTCTAATAGGATAAACCAATTAACTCCTGTATTCACACCTTTCCAAAACATCCTGTTGTTTTCCACAAATTAGGGATGTTACTTAGACTAAATATGTTAATTAGGACAATTGGTTCTTTTATTGGATTTGTATAATGGAAAGATAAATAACAACTATAACATTGACTCAATGTGTGGCTTTAATTGAAATGTCCAGATATTTGATTTCTGATAAAAATGATCAGATTAGACAGGTCACTTTTTCAAATCTGGTTGTTCACTGTTCAAATTAGGAGGTGTTCAGATTTCAATGTTTTTTAAACATGGGAGTCAATGGGAGGAAAAATGGGACCGAAAAAAAGTGTTCAAATTGGAAGGTGTTCGGATTAGCCAGGTGTTCAGATATACAGGTTTTACTGTATATAAATAACGATCTTCAAAATAATTTTGGGACATACTTGTATTTTACTTTGCAAACTAAGTTGCATTTTTCGATTTCACTGTCAACCTTCTCAGTAACTCAACATTAAAACGTTGGTTTATTAGGGACAACATCAAAATTTCAATGATGTACAAAAAATTAAATTTATTGAAAATCAAAAAGTTCAGATCTGCAGACTGACCATCCTCCGATCACAGGGCTTCAAAATCCAGAATATATTCTTCCTTTTTACCCCCTGCGATAAGCAGTTAGCATTTTCCCGATTAAGAACTCGCAATCTGATTGGCTGTCGCATCACTGCAACAGCAATCATGTGTAAGTCATTGTGCATAATTAGATCACGTGATTCAGTTTAATCGGGCACTTCCAAATTGGTTATAGCAGGGGGAAGAAGGAGGTATGGATTCTGGACACCTGCTTAGGAGGATGCAGATTGACCCCCAGCCTAATCCCCCAAAAATGTGACCTTTTTTGACTCACCCTGTAAATAGTCTATATTACTTACTTTAGATGTTTCAAAGACTTCTTCCAGGTGGATAATGTTTTCATGTTGGACTCTCTTAAGTATTGAAACTTCCCTCTCCAGTAACTTTACAGTTGAACTACCCGCCTAAAATGTACAATAATGTGATTATTTATCTGAACTGAAAATGTTATCTCAGAATAATATCTCAGGATATTTAATGAAACAATGATTACGCAGGCACAGACATTATTGAGATATCAAGAGATAAAAGCGGATATAATGTGACTTTTTTACTTCATTTTCCCGATTGTAGTAAAAAGCGCCTGTTTAGTTTAGGCAATTAAAAAACTTAAGCCATAGATTTTGAATCTATTGTAATTTAGCACAAAAATATTGAGAGGCTATTATATGCAATCGAATGAAAACTTCCAGTTGTCAAATTTATGGAGGGGAGTGTACAATGAAAACTACCAGTTGTCAAATTTATGGAGGGGAGTGTACAATGAAAACTACCAGTTGTCAAATTTATGGAGGGGAGTGTACAATGAAAACTACCAGTTGTCAAATTTATGGAGGGGAGTGTACAATGAAAACTACCAGTTGTCAAATTTATGGAGGGGAGTGTACAATGAAAACTTCCAGTTGTCAAATTTATGGAGGGGAGTGTACAATGAAAACTTCCAGTTGTCAAATTTATGGAGGGGAGTGTACAATGAAAACTACCAGTTGTCAAATTTATGGAGGGGAGTGTACAATGAAAACTTCCAGTTGTCAAATTTATGGAGGGGAGTGTACAATGAAAACTACCAGTTGTCAAATTTATGGAGGGGAGTGTACAATGAAAACTACCAGTTGTCAAATTTATGGAGGGGAGTGTACAATGAAAACTACCAGTTGTCAAATTTATGGAGGGGAGTGTACAATGAAAACTTCCAGTTGTCAAATTTATGGAGGGGAGTGTACAATGAAAACTACCAGTTGTCAAATTTATGGAGGGGAGTGTACAATGAAAACTACCAGTTGTCAAATTTATGGAGGGGAGTGTACAATGAAAACTACCAGTTGTCAAATTTATGGAGGGGAGTGTACCTTTTCTTTGTTAACTGCTTTTATTGCCCAGCACTGCTCTGTCTTTATATTGGTAGCTTCCCGGACAATTCCAAATGTTCCCTGCCCCAACTTTGCTCCAAATCTGTAGCATTCTTCAAACTTTGATTCATCTTCTATTCGTGTATGGGGGACAGATTTTTCAGCACTCCCCTGACGACCTTTACTGCTCGCCATCTATTAGAAATAAATGTGATTTGTAAGTAAATAGCCAATATAATAAAGTATTCTATTACATATCTGGTCGATATGATAGTCTAAAATACTGCAATCTGATTGGTTTACAGGCAAGACCTTTACATCTCAGTTAATTTACTTTTTTTTATGAGACTACACTTTGTTTGTATGAACCAGCTTTTTAACTAGTTGATATGTTTTGTGTGTTTGATCTTTGTTTGGTGAACTTGTGTTTTGACAACACTATATAGTTTATTTGTCTGATTATGTATTACACTGTAATAAACACATTCTTCAAGTTAGTTCCCACGGCTTTAAAATTGAAGGTTAAAATACATGAAACATGTACACAATAAAAGCAACCAAAGACAAATGGCCAATCTTATGTTCAAATACATTGTAAAATCACACTCCTGACTTTTAACTGATATCACAGTTTGCCCTTAAAGTGGATGTGAGAAACATAATGCAAATGGACTGAAACTTAACAATGGTTTAATTTAACACTGAAAATAGCAATTCACTAAAAAGAATACAATATAGTACTCAGTATCATTTTAAATTGAATTCCCATGTTTCATTATTTGGAGAGAATATTGCACTTATCCAAGTTCAAATATGCATTTCACAAATAGTTTCATTTTAAGTTGAATTCCGTGTTTTGTGTTTAGAAAGTATACTTATTTCAAAGATATATTGAAGATCTTTTTTTAATTAAAGCTAGATCTCCATTATAACAAGTGAATTATATTTGGCTTTTAGGCTATAGAGAAATGAGAATAAATATGACAATTACCAGATAGTTCTGTTCCAAAATATCTTTAAAGTTTCTTAAATTTAATTTATTTCATTGATGGCTGATGTGTTTCCAAATCAGTAGCCTCCATATATCTTAAGTGTACATTCTAGAAATTAAGGGTAAACTAAGCCTGAACTAAACCTAGATACTAAACCCAAACTTGACCTAAATATTCCCTAAAATTAACATCATGGGTTATTCATGGTTTTAATTTTAAAATTTAAGGGGAAGATAAGGTAAACAAGGCATTAACATGACAAAATGTCACCACCTAGTTGCTCACAATATTATGAGTTCAAACTTAAGTCAGATTTGAATTTCTGAGAACTTGTAAAGTCAAATTTGAACTTCTGAAGAGATGTAGATGATTTTGAAAAAAAATTGGTCAATTTGAAGCAAGTTGAAAACAGACCTTTTTGACCTTGAGAAGGTCATTAAAGGTCAAATGTCAAATCTAAAGTCAGATTTGAATTTCTGAGAACATGTAGATGATTTTGAAAAAAAAAATTAGTCAATTTGAAGCAAGTTGAAAAAAGACCTTTTTGACCTTTTTTGACCTTGAGAAGGTCATTGAAGGTCAAATGTCAAATCAAAAGTCAAATCTAAAGTCATATTTGAATTTCTGAGAACATGTAGATGATTTTGAAAAAAAATTTAGTCAATTTGAAGCAAGATGAAAAAATACCTTTTTGACCTTTTTTGACATTGAGAAGGTCATTGAAGGTCAAATGTCAAATCTAAAGTCAGATTTGAATTTCTGAGAACATGTAGATGATTTTGAAAAAAATAATTAGTCAATTTGAAGCATGTTGAAAAAAGACCTTTTTGACCTTTTTTGACTTTGAGAAGGTCATTGAAGGTCAAATGTCAAATCTAAAGTCAGATTTGAATTTCTGAGAACACGTAGATGATTTTGAAAAAAAAATTTAGTCAATTTGAAGCAAGTTGAAAAAAGACCTTTTTGACCTTTTTTGACTTTGAGAAGGTCATTGAAGGTCAAATGTAAAATCTTAAGTCAAATCTAAAGTCAGATTTGAATTTCTGAGAACACGTAGATGATTTTGAAAATTTTTTTAGTCAATTTGAAGCAAGTTGAAAACAGACCTTTTTGACCTTTTTTTGACCTTGAGAAGGTCATTGAAGGTCAAATGTCAAATCTTAAGTCAGATTTGAATTTCTGAGAACACGTAGATGATTTTGAAAAAAAAATTTAGTCAATTTGAAGCAAGTTGAAAACAGACCTTTTTGACCTTTTTTGACCTTGAGAAGGTCAAATGTCAAATCTAAAGTCAGATTTGAAGGTCAAATGTCAATTCTAAAGTCAGATTTGAATTTCTGAGAACATGTAGATGATTTTGAAAAAAAATGTAGTCAATGTGAAGCAAGTTGAAAAAAGACCTTTTTGACCTTGAGAAGGTCATTGAAGGTCAAATGTCAAATCTAAAGTCAGATTTGAACTTCTGAGAACATGTAGATGATTCAGAAAAAAATTGAAGTCAGTCTAAACAGTATTTGTTAAGTTATAGGAAGTTGTAAGAAATTGTTACAGACGCCAACCGCCGGACGCCAACCACCAACCGCCGGACGCCAACCGCCGTCACAAAAAAACGGAGACCATAACAATATGTCACCACTTTTGGTGGTGACATAAAAATGGGTTAAGGTTAACATTAACCTTAATGTTAAGGTTTGTGGACAAATTAATCTTAAAATAACCCCAAACTTTCCTTAACTCAAGGGAAGTGCCCTAAACTTTTTTCCTAAGGGTAGGCCGTTAGAATTAGAATATCTGACAATTAAAAGTTAACAGGCAAAACAAATAATTAAAAATAAACAACAATGGGGAAAATTATTGGAAAAAATATTCAAACCAATGGAAACTGTTTTAATATTCCTCGGAGGATAAAAGCAAGTTATTCTTTGAAAGAACAACAGGTTTTGCTTGCTTGCTGCTAATAAAGCCCCTATAAAGGACAATGACCTCACATGTATTGAAGCACTTGGCACAGCACCCAATAGCAGATTTGAGAATTAACACATATTAAGAACTGTGTATACCAAGGATGCATTAGGATATATCAAACAATAACTTGCAGCAAATTGAAACTTTTTTGTAAGAATGATAAAATTTGAACCTAGTTGATAAAATCCCAGAGGAACACTTTCAGACTTTATGAGTTACTTATCAATAATTGAGAGATTTATACTCTTTGTAAAATTATATGTTAAAGTGCTTTTCATTCAAGTTCTTGATCTTTATTCAAGACCAGTAGAACCATAATAAACTCCCCGACATAATCTTTAATGAAATATGCATATTGACATTACATCTTAAAGTATTGAAGGAATGACATTTCTGTAAACTTACCCAGGCAGCTTAAATCTTTATGGACTACTAACAGTGCCTGGTAAAATTCACACATTTCATTAGAATTTCTAGCAAAATAAATGAAAACATTAGGCAAAATGTTTAAATCATAATTTCAACATCAAAGAGAACACATTCCTAAAACAACAGGCAATTTGGTAAAAACAATGAGGGAAAATGTTTGGGTGCTGCTGCTACTGAAAACCCTTAAATGTTATGGGTAGATGCAAGATCAGAGAGGAATTTGATATTTGATCCTCCAAAATGATTCACCCGTTTTTCAAGACTTGTTTGTAAGCAGGTATCAACTTATCAATCACAATTCTATGAATAAGTTATAAAGATCAGGGATGCATTCAGAGACTATTTGCAGATCAAGTATTCTCAGAAACACCCTTAGAGGTGCATATGTAGATCAATATTCATTCTGATAATCCTTTTTTGTCAAACGCTTGTGAAAGATCTGCTCTCTTTAAGACCCATAGCGAGCTTTTAACGAAGGGGGTTCAGTTTTTTAAGATTCCAGGGGGAATTGAACTTGACAATGATGGCCTAACATTACCTTATAAAAATGCTCAAAATGGTGAAAACTGCATGATTTTGAAGGATTTTTTTGACATTTTGGCCCCTAACTCCAGAGGCTGTGGAACAATTGGAACTAAGAATGATCAATATACCGTATTCTCTGTAATTACCGCCCACTCTCTAATAAGCGCCCACCCCGCTTCACAAAGTTCAAGAAACATCGAGGAATCATAATAATCCATAATGAATGAAGGAATTGTTCTTTATCGGCATTCAGAAATTTCAAAAGCTACTGCGCAGATGTTCTGCGCATGTCAAGGTCGTGAACTTTCTGGTTTCTTTTTAATGTTTCTCGACTTTTACACGACTTTTGCACGAATAATGATGATCTCTCATCAAATTAGAAATAATGTATAACTTTAGATCGATATCCAGCAGTCTCTAGTGGAAATATTGAAGGTAATCGGCGATAATGACAAAGTGGGCGTGCCGGAAATAAATTAGACATAGACGGGTCTTCAACCACTGTCAATATTGTCTAAGCGATCTTTACCGTATTCTCTCCAATAACAGCACTTGTCATATTATTATAAAAATATGTTGAAGAAAATGCATTCTTGTCAAGAAAAATTGCCATACATGAAATTCCTCGGGATTTCTGATTTCTTTCATACATGGGCGCTTATTAGAATGGTCTAAATAATGTATTTTCAATTTTCTAAACGCCCTGGGCGCTAATTACAGAGAATACGGTAGTATATATTCAGCATATAATAAAATCTAACAGAGAAAAAAATTGTTATATGCGAATTGATATTGCTGTGATATAATCATTTTGATTTAATCTAACTTCAGTATATTGCTTCATCTGATGTACATGATAAATAGAATAGTCATGAACTTCAAACAAAACAATCAGACATTACATAATTCAAATATTTAAATGAACTTAAAGAGGACTTTAAGAGTGCATTGAATTAAAACACACTATTGATTGTGTAATCAAGTTCCATATTACTATAAATTAAAAATATTTTCTTAGGATGAGCATGAGAATTAAGCTGATTGTGGGTGAAGTAAAACCTGGCCCTTTATTAATAAAGGCATATGTTGGGAATGCGCTTCCTTACAATGAAAATGGCAGATAAGGTGATACAATATCTGTCTCTTATTAAAGTACAGTCATCTTGACTTTAAGACCTCCTGTGTTAAACATAAATTCACAAAGCTGAGTTCACTTATACCGAAACGCAGAATAATGGGAGTTTATGAAATGGCGACAATGTAGAGTGTTAGAGACAGACAATTGAAAAGTAGTAGTATAAACAGAAATCGTAAATGTAAATATTGAAGTGAAATATATTGAAGTGATATAAAATCCCAAGAGGCATTAGTTCAACATATGTCTGAGTGGCTGCGTGTCACAAGATATTCTAAGCCCTAAAATCGACTTTTGTATATAACTACATAATTGTATTATACAGTATATAATAATGGCAACAATATACAAATATATTGTAAAGGAAACCATATAAAAAGTCTGAACAATGGTAATCAATTGAAATGTAAATAGTATTTGGTAGAAATAAAATTAGCTAACAATTGCTTAACTACATGGTGTGCAGAATAATGAAATATTTTAATCCACTTTGTATATTGTATGTGTTTCCCAAAACAAGTTCAAAAAGTATAAAAAAAATAAAAAAGCAATTAAAACCACAATTGGAATAATTGATATTGTAGTCAATATTTGTTTATATGGATTAAAATGTAATTATTTAGTCAAAGTTAAAATATCAATGCCACGTAATCTCTGAAAGGAAACAATAGTTTCTAAACATGTACATAACTATTATGATACTTATACAGACTACATTATTTTGTAAGCATGTGTTTCTCTCCATAGGCCATAATTACTTTGAAAGGTGGGTCTGGAGTCTACTGTAGTGAAGGTGAATAAGCTATTGCTTTTAAAAACTCTCTTAAAAATAAAAAGAGGCTATCTACAGTTTTAAAAGATTTCTGTATCTCAAATTGAGATGAAAAGGCAAATGAATTTCGAAACTGTACTTCTACTTTATTTAGAGGCCGCCAAATTAAGTAGACACCAAATTCTCCGGTAATTTTAGTACCATGTGATAAAGTACTATTTGTACATTGATATATTGCAAGTCCGCCATATTTAGTAGCCGCCAAATGTTCAAAATAGCATATCCTCAAAAATAAGTAGCGCCAAATTAAGTAGAAGTACAGTAATACAAAAAAACTTAACATTCACTACTAAATACAAAGTTTAAAGGTAAAATCAGGCCAAGAGAGCACTTCCTAAAAAATTCTACAGTTGAATATTCCATAGTCTGAAAACATGTTCAATAAATTCAATGAGTGCCAATAAAACTTTACGTGTTAATTCTGACATTTACACTAATAAGGGATAACAACAGAAAAAAGGACATAAAGGATGGGCAAAATATCCCCCTTGATTATTCCATTATAGTTTAGGCGTGTATGGCAACTGCAAAAGCACATAGCATTAGAAGGAGAAATTATAATTAATTACATGTCATATTATTCATCAAAATTGTGTCGGCAAAATAATGTTGCTATCTTAATCAACTTTTTTCAACTTCCAAGATGTTGCAATTGGCATACTTTGGGAGCATGTCAATCATAGCTGAATGTTATTTAAGAATTTTATGATTTACAAACTTTTGTAGATCCGGTTAATTTGGGAGAAAAATGGTGGCATATTTCCAAACCACCGGTTGGGCATTCACTTCGGTAACATTTGTAAATCAATTCGAAAAGTATATTTAAAAAAGATGGCAGTAATTTAATTTTGAAATTACTTAACTCACTAAAGTCAAGGGAGAACTTAGCAAATGTTGGAATAGATTGAGGTAAGAAATTCGGTGTATAGTTAGTACAGAAAATATTGACTTTTGAAATTTAATGTAGGGCTTAATCAGTCCTCCGTATGACCACACTTTAGGGTAGGTGTGGTTTGCGATAACATTGCCAACGTGATGTCCACTATTCTTGCGCTTGATTGCAGATATACACTTGTCTTGGAGTCTGTCAATTCGGATTTGTGTCAATCAAATAAAAATAAGTAATCCAAAGACCACAGTGCAATATTATATAAAAAATACTTTCATTTTTATTTGCAAAATGGTTGTATATATTTGGTAACCAAACCCGTCTGGCCCAGTTATCTACTCCCGACCTCGTAGATCTAGGCCAGACAATGTCCAATGCAAAAAATGGGGTATTTACTCCGGAAAAAACACACTGGTTTTTCAATGTATAATACGTGCTGATAAATGAATAAACATCATAAAAGTCACTTACGTGTTTGTTCCTTGTATCAAACTTTGTATTTATATTAGGTTTCCATCGCTGGATGACGGCTAATAAATAAGAACGAAACGATTAAAGCAGCAAAAAGAGAAATTCTTCTGCAATCTGTTCGTGATCTCGTAGAATATCGAGAAGTCTCAGCTGCATATTTCGTTCAGTACTACATTCAACAAATTGAAAAATCGTATTTAATGTCCACCATATTTCTTTCCAGTCTAAATACAACACAGATACGTCTGTTTTATAAAGTAATCTACGTTTTGATAACAAATCTGCTGAACAAATCGTAATATTTGGAATGTATTGATTCCCGGGAAATGCATTTTCGTTCCATGAAAGTTTAAAAATTATCACGTCACACTCGTGTTACGTCACATCACGTGACTTTATTCAGTGCGGAGAACTGACGAAATATTGACGAAATGTTGTGCCCATTTCAACATCAATATAACAAACAAAACACCACATTTACGCGTAAGTTATGTTCTCTTTATTTCAAATAAATACTTGGGTTTACATGGTACCCAATGTTTTGGTTGGATGGCTAATAGGGAATGAATAATAAGTGATGATTCAGCGACATGTTTTTTCCTGAGTAAATCCCCCCTTTTTTGCATTGGACATTGTCTGGCCCAGATCTACGACGTCAGGAGTAGATAACTGGGCCAGACGAGTTTGGTTATATATTTGGCTGCTTGTGGCCTGAGTTGTGGCTTAGCCTGAGACTAATATTTGGCCAATAAAGTTCTTGGCCTCTTCTGATACATAGACAATGTATTTCTAAAAATGTGGCTGCGATACATCCCAAAATTACTGCATGTAATTAATTTGAAATATACAACTGTTTTGCATCTAGAATATTGAATGTATTTTTCAATAAAATATTGCACTGTCGTGATCCAGTTTGATTGTTCATTGACATACGGCTGACTCGCAAGTTGTAAGATAACCAGGTTCTACATGAAATGTTGCCAATTTTGACTTAAGATGTGCCCAAATAAAAAAATCAAAGTTTAATCTGACAACAGACACTGCCTACTGGCCATAATATAAACCAGATCAGTCGTCAAGAACCCAGGATCACGAAAAGCAGTTTAATTGACATTGACAACGTACCTTGTTCTACAGATTATTCCATCTGCTAGTGTGCCATCGGTTATAATGTAGTTTTAAAACATAGGATATAACTTTAATATATTCTATATTACTTAATGGTATGGGTTATAATGATATAAATCAAGTAATTCAACGACATAAATCAGATTTCAGATTTTCAAACCATTTCTGCAAACTTCCTTTATCATGCGCAGCCCATCTGCGCATAGATCTCAGAGGCGTTATTCTCGCAAAATTTGCTCTGAACGAAATACTGTTACCCGGGAAAATATTAGAATTCAAAACTCAGGTCGGTTCCCCGGGGTCTAATTTCCTCTAATCAACATGATTAATACAGCGACTTTTTAGGCCGTTATACTAATAAGTCAGCAAGTAGGCCTACATATGGACCAAGTGAAAGTGAATAAGAGGCATATACATGTACGTATGTGAAGCTCCAGGTGTTCTGGCTACCCAAGTATTCCGACTCCGGCCTAGGCCTAATACCCCCGAAGTATTCAAGTCTGACCTGACCCATGGACCTATATCCTTTTTTCTAGGTGATTCCACCCACATTATTGACCGGTTGGAAAATGTTGGCTATATTCACATAGACGTGAGTGAAATTGCCTAGAACGAAAAAACTTGTGCCGCTTTTTTTTGCTTGAGAATCTGTTAGCCTAACGTAATTAGAAAGTTACAAATCTTGCCAAGAGCATGTGCAATATCGTTCAGCCAGCAGTACATTACTCTTTGAACATTCCCTAAAGAAAGAAGCTATTACCCATACATCCCTAGGGGGTCCCTCGTTTGAACATTCTTAACAGAGAATAAACCTCTCGATATCATTCTGTAACAATCGTGGGCCATGTATATGCCATACAAGTGTAGCATGGCCTTGGCATAACACAGTTCCAGACTGTTATCTTATTCCAAAAGCAGTATCATTTCAACACTATCATTTAATAATAAAACAATCACATGTGGGTTCAAAAGTCTGTATTAAGTCCGTATTAATATGTGAGAGTAAAGTCACATGTAGTCAGTAAGAATATGTCAATAAGATCATCCTGCTACATACATTGGGGTTATAACTATGTGTAGTTAAGGATGAGAAATGGAATTGGTCACCTCACTTGATATCAGAGGGGTGTAGCCCAATGTAGCCCCGGGTATAGGGTGGTATGGGGACCCTAATAGTTAGTATAGGGTTGCAGCCTAATGTAGCCGCGGGTATACGGTGGTATGGGACACCTCACTAGTCAATATAGGGTTGCAGCCTAATGTAGCCCCGGGTATAGGGTGGTATGGGACACCTCACTAGTCAATATAGGGTTGCAGCCTAATGTAGCCCCGGGTATAGGGTGGTATGGGACACCTCACTAGTCAATATAGGGTTGCAGCCTAATGTAGCCCCGGGTATAGGGTGGTATTGGACACCTCACTAGTTAATATAGGGTTGCAGCCTAATGTAGCCCCGGGTATAGGGTGGTATGGGACACCTCACTAGTCAATATAGGGTTGCAGCCTAATGTAGCCCCGGGTACAGGGTGGTATTGGACACCTCACTAGTTAATATAGGGTTGCAGCCTGATGTAGCCCCGGGTATAGGGTGGTATTGGACACCTCACTAGTTAATATAGGGTTGCAGCCTAATGTAGCCCCGGGTATAGGGTGGTATGGGACACCTCACTAGTCAATATAGGGTTGCAGCCCAATGTAGCCCCGAACCAAGGGTGGTATGGGACACCTCACTAGTTACTATAGGGTTGCAGCCTAATGTAGCCCCGGACCAACGGTGGTATGGGAACCTCACTAGTTAATATAGGGTTGCAGCCCAATGTAGCCCCGGACCAAGGGTGGTATGGGACACTTCACTAGGTAATATAGGGTTGCAGCCTGATGTAGCCTCGGACCAAGGGTGGTATGGGACTCCTAACTAGTTACTTTAGGGTTGTAGCCTAATGTAGCCTCGGACCAAGGGTGGTATGGACACCTCACTAGTTACTATAGGGTTGCAGCCTAATGTAGCCTCGGACCAAGGATGGTATGGGACTCCTAACTAGTTACTTTAGGGTTGTAGCCTAATGTAGCCTCGGACCAAGGGTGGTATGGGACACCTAACTAGTGACTATAGGGTTGCAGCCCAATGTAGCCAGGGGGGTCAGCCTGATCACCTATATTCACACACCAATTGTGTAGCCACTTGTAGCTCGTATCTGGGAAAGTGCGAATGTGAGGGGGGGTGAGGGACTAGTCACATACAGCATAATAGCCAGAGTGACTGAGGGAGGGGGGCGTTGATTAGGGGAAGTCTAAATGTCACAGTCCATGTTAATAGTCAATGTTAGTCGGGGGGGGGGTGTATGTATAAGTTTTAATCTCACCAACACAATAAAACAACATAATAAAGGCAATTAAAGATTAACATTAATTAATTCTATTTCAATTGTAAATCATTCATTAATACAAGTTATATTACATAAAGAATAAGATCTGACTTATATAGTGTAGAATATACCCAAATACCACGCAACTCCTACATGGCTGCAAATGGCTCTAACTAGAGCCTAGCTACATTTGGCTAGCAACCTGACAGCCACATGCAGCTTCCATTACAGTACATTGGGATGACTTGAATCACCCCAAAACTCACTCCAAAACGGGACCCTGGTACCAATACATGTTCTACCGGTATACTGGGTATAATTAACACTAACAATTAAGCATAATTACCGTAATTAGTGGTAGATTTTTGACAAGAAAAGACATGATTTGAACTCAAAGTTACATGCAAATTACATCAAAAGTTTGACTCTGAATAACAACTGAATCAGTTAACGAAATGCCTTGAAACTTCTTGACCAATTAAATAACTACTTCATAATTACCTTAGAACACCATTCACCTCGATTTACCAACGGAAACTGCTATAAATCCAATGTAATTGAAGAGAAATGAGCAACATGTGTTCCACCATCTTGAGATTTCCGAGAGACTGATCACATAACATGATTACATATCACTACTCACATAACAAGATGAACTACACTTTAAAATAAGACAATTCGAAGCACAGTAAAGTTATGTACATATATATAAACATGTATACAATAAATTAGACACACTAAATAGCGTACATAGGTCAAAATAATCACAACAAGGCAAGATAAACAATGGAACTATATCCTTAAGCCGAGTAACTTCAGACACTGAAGTAGTGGACAGGCTACACAGCCTATGACTCATGGTGACTCTTACAAAAGTTAACATACAAAATTCGTACAATTCACAAGGCGATACCTTGTCACTACAGTCTCAGTCAGCAAAGTACAGATGCACTCTGCATTAACTGTAAACAAAACTAGCATTGGCGCTATGTAGGCGCTGGCCAAAGAATACATGCAAGTACAGGACATATATAATACAGTAAAACTCCATACTGGTGAACAATGAAATTGTTAGTTATTTTGACTAAAGCAATGCAATAAGAAGGCTCAGTAACGGCACATCGGACCAGATATAAGCCATTGAAAATAATAGATAGGCTGATGGGTCGTTACACTGCCCCCTTCTTTGAAATAAGTTCGTCCCGAACTTTTACACAATTATTACAAAATAATTAAAAGATAATCAAAAATATACATAAGTATGTAATTCAATGTGAATATATGATCTCAAAGGTACATAATAATACAGTTGTTTACATGGTTATACATTTACGACTTGCATCACCTGAAAAAAACATGTCATTACAATATTTGAATGAAGAAATCACATTTATATTAATATCAAGAGTTCAGGATAGCACATGTATTTTGTAGTTAAAGTCATTAAGAGTGTTTTCTTCTTAGAATTCCAATGATTGTTTAGTCAATTTATACCAAGTTGGCACTAGTCGTATCCAGAACACTGCGTCTCTGTATACAGAGAGAGTCATAAGTTCATATATGGCACATCAAATACAGTATGAAGATCAAATATATGTAGTAAGCTTCTCCAATAATCCTCGGTGTATGGTTACAGAATGTTCTCTCAATGTCTCTGTATATTGTTGGCTTGTGGTCGACATCTCTAAACCTGGAAGAGAAACCATTGCCATGCAGACGTGCCAATCTACAATAGCTACAACTTCCTCTCACTGCCAGACTTCTCTATACTAGCTCATGGAATCGTCAACCATTGTAACCACACACATATTCAATGTCCGCCTACTTTAAGACTGTGGGACAAGACAAAGTAGGCTACAGCTGAGTGACATTGCTGGAAGTTGGGCATTTTGGGACCATTGAGGGATGGAGATAACATTTTACAGTTGGTGCACTGTTTTACTGACAGCTTTCGGCACTATCACAATTATATACACTATGTACAAGGGAACTCTGCCTCAAACATTACATTCACAATTACTCCAATTGTGTAACGGTTGAGCCTAGGTCATCTACTAGGGCAACAAGGTAACAGTTTGGGTAGACAGTCTTTTCTCATTACTTCAGTTGGTAATCAATAATGGAAAGGATAAATCAATGAGGCACCAGAGACTGTACATTATCCTGACGCCATCATTATCAGAGATGTAAACTTGGGGTTCATTTAGCAACTCTTCGGATCTATGGGAACCATCTTCCCGTGTGGAGGTATCAACATCACTAAAGGGGGGAACGCTAAGGGAAGCTTTATTCAATGTGTCAATATTGATCAATATTTACATGATATTTGCAATCAGAGACAGTAGGGACAACAGGTAGCACAGGCCACTCAAACCATCTAGCTATAATTAGGGTTCCACTCTTAAGAAACTCAACAACCCCGTGGCTTCTCAGGAAATATAGGTTGCCAAGGATACAGGTACACACATAGCAAATGACATTTACTCTCGTAGTAAATGCCACATACATATGTGGTAAATGTCAGCCACATCAGATGGTACATGGATTGTTGACTGATAACACTCCACATAGGGGACTTGTGACAATCAGCCCTCCTTGGAACAAAAACTGATTGACGCCAGCAAAAGCTATGGCCAGACATGCTCACTTCTGCTGACAGTCCACTATCAACATTTTGGTAACTAATCTTGGCAATACCACTTGCCAAGATCGAGGCAGTAGCTCAAATATCTATCAGACCGTACAGATAACAGATCCCAATCACTACTTGGAAGGGGACCACCATTGACACATAAGATGGCAATATGCATGGTGACCTACTTCTACGAAG